AAAAGTCAGCTGTGGTCCTAAAAACAACGACAACAAAACCCCCCAAAAAACCAGCACAAGATGATCCCCCAGCTTGAAAGAAGGAACTATCACAGGCCCTTCCAGGAGTCTGGACCCAATCCACAGAGGGCTTTAGCACCCCTAACCATTTCTTGAAGTAGGCCTGGAGGGCCCTAGGGCTGTCATTGTTCACTTTTTCACACATCCCCAGAAATCCTGAGGGCCATTTACCATCTTTTTAAAATTAATGCTAATATGAGTCCCCCAAAAAGGTGTGTTAGTGTGGATTGGTGAAATAGCATTCAATGAAATAATCTTGCCTTCTGGAGGCATCTGAGGCCATGATTGCCTATTAGGGGGCTGATTTTTTTCCCCCCAGTGGGAAAAACCAGCATTTTAGGGGCAGATGCGTTATGGGGTTGCACAATACGTCTTGGGAAGCCATACCTATGTGACTTACAAGCCGTACAGTTGTGTGGGATAGCAGCCTAAACAAGGCTACCTTACAGAACTCCACGAGTCGGAAATGTGCTATGTTTGTCTAAATCATAGCACAGGCAGAAAAAAAAAGCTAATAACCAGAGGTGCTGGTAGCCCAAAAAGGGAGGAGGCAGATGCTCAGATTAATGCCTGAGCTGGAAAAAAATGCAACACACTCAGTGAGGTTTGGTGATTCCCCCACCCCTTCATGGTAAATGGAATTTCTATTCCACCTTCAGGCAACTAATTTGAGACATGTCTCAGATTTGCAGTCCATTTTCAGAAGTTCAGCCTCCAAATTTCCAAGTGAAAATAGTTGGTATAAGTAGAATAATTGTGCATCACTAGTTTATCAACTTTTAATTTTAGAAGATTAATAAAAATAAATTAAGCCAGCAACGAGAACAAAAGCCTTCCTGTTAGCCAAAAAAAAAAAAAATGTGAGAGTTGTCTGAAAATGTAGGCTCATACAGATTTGGTCAGCCAAGCTTGCGTCCATTGGCTTGAGTTTGCTGCCATCTCGTGGTCAGCCTGATTCTTTCAGTACTTAAACTTCTTGCATAAATCATGTGGTACATTTAGAACTTGACATTTGGGATTGGCAGACAATTGGAATTCTCATTGATATTTCAGTTCTGTTGATTAGTTGGAATGCTCAGTTCCTTGATTATTGATTTTATTGTATTATGGTTTAACAATGGGATTTTATGCAGGTCCTGAATAATCATCATAATTATAGAAAATCATAGAAATGTAGAATAATTGAGTTGGAAGGGACCTACACTATAAGGCCTTTGTGTCCAAGCCCCTACTCAATGCAGGAATCCAAATCCAAGCAGATCTGACAGATGGATATCCAATTTTCTCTTGAATGCCTCCAGTGTTGGAGCATTCACTACCTCCCAAGGTAATTGGTTCTGTTGTCCTACTACTCTAACAGTTAAGAAATTTTTTCTTATATTCAGTCTAAATCTGGCTTCCTGTAGCTTGATCTCATTATTATGCGTCCTGTGCTCTTGGAAAGCCATACATATGTGACTTACAAGCCGTACGGTTGTGTGGGATAGCAGCCTAAACAAGGCTACCTCACGGAACTCCACGAGTCAGAAATGTACTGTTTGTCTAAATCATAGCACAGGCAGGAAAAAAAAGCTAATCATCAGTCTTTCCTCATAGGGCTTGATTTCCAATCCTATGATCATCCTTATCTATTATTTCTAATCCTTTTCTCATTACTAGGCAGGGCTTGGGGAACTTAACAATCATTATAAAACACAATAAAGATTATAATTAAAAACGAATTCAATCAGATAATTATTCTAATTAAATAAAATGAAACACAATGCCCTTCCTAGAAATTGCAAGAGTGGAAACAAACTGCAACTCTAAAGTGAGTGAATTCCACAACCAGGGAGCCATGCTGAAGAAAGCCCACTCCTGCATCCCTATTGAATGTTCCTCTACAATTTATGGGGATGGTGATCCATCCATGACAACAGAATCACATCCAACTCTTCCACCTTCAGACTGCCAATTTCACTAGAGGAGAATACCACATCCAGAGTATGCCCTGTCACATGCATGGAGTCCACTACTAATTGCTTGAGGGGCACAGTTGTCATGGCACTTTTGGGTCTTGACTGATCAACTTAAGCATAAATATAGAAGTCTTACATAACAATAAGCTTGGGGTAATTCAGTGGCACACAACAGATTACATGGGATAGTCCAGGAAGTGATTGTTGGCACCAGAGTCACAATACACTAATAGAATTCCAATGTTGTTGTAGCCACTTAGCATACAGAATACATTCAAAATTGCCAGATTGCCGGCTGGAGGGAACATCTGTTCTTTGATAACGTAATGCTTCTGGGTATTTGCAAACCTCACATCTTCTGTCCTGCAGAGTGGATGCAGATTAGGGCATCCAGTCAGTAGCTGGTCCTTCTCAGTCAAGATTGTTAAATGCACTGCTTCAGCACTGGTCACTTGTTACTTATAGCAAGCTGCACGAGAACAGATTTATCTTGTTTGTTCCCCACCAGAACACAATGAATAACCCTCATTCTGGGTCAACATAACCATGCTAGCTAAGAATAATGGGAGTTGCATCCCAACACATCTGGAAGGCATCAGGCGGGAAAGACTGCCCTAGAAGGAAATATTGAGGCAACAGAAACTGAGATGAAAGAGGATTCAGTGAATGGATTTTGCATCCCTTGTCTCCATGCAATGCACCAGCTGAGTTCAGTGAGGAACCAAAGAAGCAGTGCACATTTGCATCTGTCACTTACATAAACTTTTCAGCATTCAAATATAAAAAACAGTGAACTATTAGACACTAGACACATTAATTTTGGCATATTCTCAATGCTTGATCCAGAACATAAAAAATTTTGACTGATAAAAATGAGACATTAATGCCATTGTCATTTCTACCTGTGACTTTCCAAACCTTAGGTAGCATATCATTAGAAAAATGGCAATAAGACCAATAAATCTGAATAAATAAGCATCAAATTTATTGAATCATGAATAATTTAAGACTGGTACAATCATTAGCTTTATTTCTCCATGACACAGGATGGGAGAAGGTGGGGATGGGGAAGAAAGGGAAGGGCTAGCCGGAGGGAGACATGCTCCCGAGGAAACCTTTTGCAAATTCCAATCCTAAATGGTCAACAGAAAATTAAATAGGGAGTTTGGGTGACATCATACTGTACACAAAATACTCAATCCCTAGTGTTTTTCCCTCCTCCTTTATAAATGGCTAGAAAAAATTCATCAAAATGCAGCACTTGTAATCAAATATTTACATTTCTATGTTACAATGAAAAAAATGTACACCTTGGAGAACTTGTCTCATAAATGGTTCCACTGGAAACAACTAGATCAAAACAGCAACCTTCCATTTAATATCCACAATTTTTTGTACTTTTTTCCTTTTGATTTCCTTAAAAGAGAATTGCCACATTTAGACAAAGTTCAAGACACAGCATATCAAAAGTTTAAGCATCAGTAATGCAATATTGTAGGGATCTTCTCGGTCTCTCTCTTTTTAAAAAATATACAAAAAAAGGGGGGGGGAGACTAGCTAAACCTTCCTTGTTTCTGCACCATTACCTTAAAAAAATCTACTACATGTACAATGCTTGACTGCTGTGAAGGAACAAAATTGTATGCTTCCAATTTATAACAGAACATGAATGTTGCATAGAGTCTTACACCAAAACAATTGCAGGAAATCATGCCAATTTTGTAGGGAGGAAATGGCAAAACTGGAAGCAGCCTGGATAACATGCTTTGTCATCCTAACAGGGAGGTGGGAGGTTGATTTGTCTACACCGACAAGATGAGCTAGCTAGGAAATGCGCAGAACAGGCAACCCTGCTTCCCGAAGTTTCAAAGAGGACACTACAGTTGTCTGACAACCTTAAGAACATTAATCTAAGTTCTCAGTGACCCAACTAAAGTCTACTGAAAAGCAAAAGAAAGGGCAAAATTCTTTTCCTGTTTATGGCAATGGCTACATGGAAAAATGGAATATCTGACAAAGGGCTTTTAATACGAGTCAGATGGAAGGGGCCAGGGCACTAAACTCTGGTGTGGAGTTGGCTCAGTTCTGATAGTTTACATATTTTCCCCATTAATCCTATTTTTAAAAATTGTACATGTTTTGATATCTATGAGATGTTCCCAACCCAAAGATCCCTAAAGTACACAAAGAAAGCTTTCTGCACAAGAAATGTCTTCAGTCATTTAATTGGAAGGACCAGATATTCACAAGCATTGTATTTTGCATTTCCTTCCCCTGGAATGGCCCACAAAGCCCTTGCCCAAATGTGTGCATGAGAAGGCACAAAACTGCAAGGCGTCACAATGAAGGAATCTAAGGAATGAACTCACTGGATGACGACACATGGGTGACCCTCTCTTATGAAACACATAATGGAAGTTTCTACTCAGGTTTGCAGGAAATCAAGTTGTCAGGGGCTCCAGATCCACAGACTGCAGCTTTGCAGAACTCACCTGAGTTCTAAATATTAATTTCAAATGGATTGCAATATAAATAAATGGGATAATTTAGCCTTTGAGGTACAATTATAATTTTAAATTGTTTATAGAGATTTATACACAGTTTATTTCATATGTTGATGGCTGTATTTGTTCAGATGGACAGAATCTTTACCTAATAGCTTGGATCCACATTTAACCACATTATGAGAAAATCATTTGGGGCTGAAATTAGTCACAAGAACCATATCTTGTTGATCTCAGTGGGTCCACTTTAAGCATGATTGTATCAGGACCTAAACCAATGAGACAGTGTTTGTGTGTGTGTGTGCATGTGTGCATAAAATAAGCTCTGAAATATGCTTATTTATATATAAAGGAGCTTATTTCAGCTTATTGTATGTATAATTTATAATGTATGTAAAAACTGGGGATATTTGATATAAGCCACCTATTATTGTTGCATACTAAGGGGCAATTTGTAAATATATAAAAGTAGCTTATTTCAGAATTCCCAGGTTTACCAATTGCCCTTTAGTATGCAACAATAATAGGTGGCTTATATCAAATATCCCCAATTTTGAACAGAATAAAATCAGGGATATGGGGACTTTGCCAGAAAGCTTCTTTTCCAAACAATGCCAAAGGGGACAGTTATAATATTAGCAGCCTTATGCTTATCATACTTTTGACAATGCTGACAGCCTGTCCTTTTGCAGTGTTTTTAAAAAATAGCATATCCTGGCAGGAGTGAGGTAGGGGAATACCTTGCTTAAAATATAATGCATTCTTTCTATGCATCTAAATTGGCAAGCTTTAGATTTTAGGATCATGTGTGGCTACAATCATTCCTGGCATGAAATCAGGAAATCTAATAGACTGCAGAGCAATGAACCTCCACACTACAGTGTGGAGGTTCAAAATGTGAACTGTTACAATGTGCAATTTGGGAATGAATACCCATGGAAGCCAACACAGATGGCCTTTTTCAATGAAAGTGATCTTCCTCCACCAGAGGACTTCTTCAAACAAAAATATATTTTTGTGAAGAAACTGTGTACAGTTCCTGAGTACAATGCAAATATATTTCCAGGAAGGAATTACTTTTAAAGAGACCAGACTGCATTCTGTACTGGATTAAGAATTTGTTCAGAAAAAGTATATAGAACAATTCTTCCAGGACTGTGCCACTTCAGAATATATAAAAGTGTCATTTGGAATGATCTCTCTGGATGAAACAAATCCTGACTGTAAGAAAATCACCACACTGGGGGGGATCCTAGAAAAGAACCCTTTTGGCTTCAGTAGAAATAGAATGCCCATAAAAACAGGATTTGTTTAAACCTAGATCTTTTAAGCCTGTGTCCCAAAATCACTCTAATAAACCCAACAGTCAGCTCTGAAAAAACTAGCTTCTTCCAATCTTCTTAGATTCTAAAACACTTGTGGCCCATTTTCAGCAAAAAGATTAGAATTAAGAATATGAGCTGAGTAACCTTCTATTTTGTTACTAAACACGCAAGAATCCCTTTAAAATCCAAGAGTCAATGCCTGAGTGATTCAAAAGTGGCCTTTACAAATAGCTGTGTTATTTCAAACATCAGAACTAGAAAATAGTTAACAAGAGCAAATTCACAAAAAGCTCAAAAGACAACATGTTAAATTCACTCAGGTCACCAAAAGCAGAAATTATGAGGTATAACAGGAACTATCCTCTCAGTAAACTGAGTTATGATAGCATGTTGCTGCTTCTTGCACCATATTAGACCTGTAAAGATTAAACACACTCTGTTTGAAAATTGTGGCAAGTATTCTACCTGCATATTTCAAAGCAAAATAAAAAGATCCCATCACTTTCTTCTACTTTAGTAGTGATGCTGTTCAGTATCGTACAAAAAGTTTGTGGGTTATTGTTATTATTGTGTAGTTTTTTTCTTTTATTGGAGAAACATCTGTCCAATGAATGATTAGCTGCAGAATGACATGGAAATTCTCAAATGTTCTCCTCCCTCGCTCTGTATCGTTTCCCTCTTTCAGTTATTATCACATTTAGGAACAAACAAAAAAAAATTGTTCATATATATTATTATAAACAATATTCACAGCAACTCACATCATCAAGAGATGACCTCTATAGCCCTGTTTTGTTTAAATTAAAAAAAAAGAAGTCTCCATCAAATACAGCACTAATGGAATTCAGACACGATTAGTAGAAAGTAGGTAAGGCATCACTTTAAAAAAATCAGCACCCAAAGATAGCTGAAAAGGCTTGTATGTGTGTCTATGTATGTATGTATCTGTGTATATGCTCATGAATGTGTCTCTAACTGAGGTACAGCCTAAGACATCTGACTGGTTGCTGTTGTCTATTTTGAACAACAACAAGGACAACAAGAACAAACTAATTCTTTATGGGAAATTCTTGCTCCCCAACTGAAGCACCAATTAAACAAAAGAATCTTTATTTTGTGCATCTGAAGATGAAAAAAAGGATATCTAGGAAAAGATGTTCACCACTTGGCCCATGGGTTTAAAAAACCCAATTTTTTACAAATATTTTAATCCCAGGCGTGGGGAATGCATGGCCCTCCAGATTTCATTCAACTATGGCTGAGCTTTAGGAAAGATCGTCAGTGGGGAAGGACTACACAAAAGGGGGTCTGTCTGCAATTTAACAACATCTGGAGGGCTGCACGTTCTCCACCTCAGCTTTATAGAGGCAGTTCTCCTTTCCTCAAGGCCTGGCTAAGTAACAAATCTTTTAAAAACCTTTAACCGATGGACTGGAACTGATTCCACACAGCTTAAAACCTGACTGGATCCAGTTGTATAAAATTCTTAATTAAATAGAAGCATCTGAGCTAACTGGGTAAAATTCATCATGTTCAGTGAGCACATTCCATCTTACTCAAACTTGACATGGGATTTCAGACTTCTCTTAGTTGAGAAGTAAACACACTATCCTTCTTTTACCTCTGTACCTCTTGAGGAGACATCTATTCCAAAAGGGCACTAAGCAGATACTGGAAACTTGTGCTCCAAGCAGATGGTCATGCCTCATCCTGCGCTACTGGTAGTCTATACCCTTCCACGGAGTCATGGGTCACTGGTAGTATTTTGAAAGCAAATGGAAAGACAGGATTAAATAAGCACTAAGAACTCCATTGAGTCATTCCCGCCATGAGTTGGGCCTACCAGCTAGTCATCCCTTTGGTCTGCAGGGATGGGTAATTTTTCTGCCACCGGAACATGGTACCTCCTCCCTGCTCTTTATAACCCCATGCCTGTCCTGCATCACCCTGACATCTGCATATTTAGTGGAGCTGAAGAGTGACACCTTCCTGCTATTTTCCAACGTTCCACTAAATGTGTGGGTATCAGGACAGTAGGAAGGAGGATATTAGGCACAAGGCCACTAGGTGTTGTGGCTATTTAATCCATACATTTAACATGTATGTGGGAGAAGGACTTGCATGATGCAGTTGAATGCTGATTAAACTTCTGACTTCAAGAGGTTCTAGCCAGGGCCCAGTTATACAACCACTACCATGAGCCTGAAGGGATTTCAGACCAATTTCATTCTTTCTTTTAAACACTGGTCTTCCACAACTCATGCCAAACTGCTTCTGCTCTAGAAATGGCTTGCTCTACTGCATTAGAGGAGAAACTGCTCAAAGAAAAATGGAATAGAAAAGAGCATTGAACCCAAGCGAAGACTGAATATCTTGCTCAGATCCTGATAACTGCCTCTTTCAATGTTTTGTAAAACTACTGATTAAATGACAGAGGGTTCCAAAATCATGAATAGTATTTTTTAAAGGACAGGTATTTGTATTTTATATACACAGGCCAGTATGCAAGGAAGGGATGTCCACTCACACCTCTGCTCTCTCTTTTCTGTCTTGGATCCTACTGCTGAGAAGACAAGCCGCTTGAGTTTTCCAAGCTTGCCTCTTCAGCAATGACCACCACAGAAGCAAAATGTGAAGGAAAAATCTGGCAACAGTTTTCATTTTCTCCCTCAAGTGTGCATTTGTCAGTGGGAACTTAACTGATAACACCCAACAACTCTGCCCACTGGACTCAGTTTGGTGTCTGCACAGAGATAAAAAAAGTGAATCAAAGATTTTAAAAGCCAGGCCCTCAAACTGGAGAACTGCCTTCATTTATTTATTAATTTTAGTGCATTTATGCATGTGCGTGTGCATGACTATTTCAGATCTCCCTGTTTTTCATCTCCTTGCCTTTTATGATATATTATTAACAAGGCAAAAAGTTATTTTGTAGCACCAGAACGATTCATAGTTGAAGTTAGGCTGAAAGATGACTTGTGAAAATCCAACCGTCACTGAATGAGTTTGATTAGAAGCAGCATAGGCAAGATCTACTCCTCTTCTTCCCTTTCTGGACAGTACATGGCACAAAGTTCTCATTTGTTTCATAGTTTTGCAAGTGATCATTCCCCAACCCCAACCTCCCCAGAAGCTACTAATACTAATATCCTTTTTATGGAAAAAATGTATTCAGTGTCTTAGGTATGTGAGCTCACAGCAATGTCAAAAAGAACAAAAAAAAAAAGTAGTGCAGTTCTTATTAAAGAAAATAAAAATAAAAACACAATATAAAAACATCAGCTGGGTTGCCTGCACCCATATTTGACACTGAATTGGGGGGAGGGGAGGGCGGAGGGAGAGGAGAATAAATTTGTATTGTTCTCGTAGCTCTTAATACTGAGTTGTCCATCTGGACCAAAGACCAACTATCCTCATGGATCGGTGATTAATTTTTTTCTAAATGAGGCAGGAGATGGACCGTGGGAAGCAACCATTTTCTGCTAGTGTACATCACAATGTAGACTCCAGGGATGAGTCAAGGATATCATCATGATGGCTATTGCTGTTGGAGTCACTGTCGTAACTCTGTGGGCTTGAATAGTTAGCTGCCTCTTGCAATCTCATCAGCATGTTCATCTGAGGAAATACAGAAAAAGGCAGACATGTTATTTATATTTCATCCCTTTTCAAAGAGATAACCATGTTAGTCTGGTTTAGCATATATAATAATAAAAAGAGTAGATGCAAAGTATTGTGCCACCTGTAAAACTAGCTAATTTATTTCACATGTCTATATCCTGTTTCCTTCCATTCCCACACCTGCAACCATGTGCATAAACCAGTGGTCTAAATATGGTACTCCATATGCTTGGGAAATTGGACTGCAATCTACAAAAGCACACACTAAAAAAAGTTAGTCTTAAACGAGCCACTTTCATGTTTTTCTTTTCCTTCTGAATTTCAGCCTATTTGCACAACCACTTCTGGCCATATATTGGCCGAAATCCTGGTGCTTGACATAGTAAATCACACTAGAGTAGGTCCACTGAATCAATGGAGATTTAGTGGGTCAACTCAGCTCTAAATGCCTATGCTACAGTAAGTCACAAAGTAGCTCCATTTGAATGAACTGAATTTATGGAAGAGTTAACTCACTAAAAACCCATTGATTCAATGGATCTTCTCTAGTGTGATTTACCACACCAAGCAACAGGATTTTGGCCAATGCATTAACAAGGATTTTTTATGAATATTCAGTACCCTGAGAATTAAAAAAGAGCAAAGTAGACTCATTAACCAATTCATACCAAATCTTTGGAAAGTTACTTTTAAAAGACTTTTCAGAGTTCTCCAACCAGCATGGGGAGGAGTCACTAAAGTATAAAGTATTTTTTTTCAGCCAACAATTCTCACCAAAGGATCTCCTTCAGCATCGCTGGGTGGAACTTGCTTGCTAGTTGAACCTTCCCGTGGCATAGAGTAACCATCAAATCCCACATCTTCGGGCCGCAGTTGCAGCAAAGGTGGCCATTCGTGGTGCTGTGGGGTGGCTGCCCATGGGTAAGTATCCATTACCCATTTTGCAGGGTCCTCCCATGGAGCTCTTCTTCCATACAACTGTAAGCAAGCAAAAACAAGAAAACATCATTAATTAAAGGGACAGAAATTAGATGTGTTTATTATATTTTAGGCATTGGCAGCACTGTAAAACAACTCCCAGATGTGGTCTTAGGGCAAATGGTGCAACCATGTTCCAAAAACTAAGGTGGTCAAATGCAGATGGAAGACTGCCCAGGGACCTGAGAACCACCTTGAAATCTGTGATGGTATAAGGGTGTGACAGAGCTACTCAGTAAAGTCAGTCAACCAATCAATTCAATGAACATTTCATTTCAGGATCCCTCTAGCATGGAAAAGTATGTGCACTAAGGAGATGGATTTGTTGTTTCTCTACCCCTGCATGGCATTGGATCAAGTGAAGTGGAACAAGAATTTCAAAATATCTAGAGCCCAGGTTCCATGTTCAAACACCGAACATTCCCAGAAACTGCTACAGAGAGCCATGACTTTCAAATATATCCTAGCAAATCCTGGGGTTTCTTAGAAACTATGGATCATTCCTTAAAGAAAAAGGCAATATTAATGGTAGAAAAACATTCTCAAAGACAGCTCTCTGCAACACAGATGGATCTTGAAGAAAACATGCACTCATAGCGATGTCGACTTCAGATTGATGGTATGGGCCAGCTGGCAAGTTCATGTCCGCTCACAGGGTGCATCATGATACATGCTGGATACTTCTGCTGATCACTCTTGATTCCAAAGGAAGCATACATGAATTCATTAAAGACACAATTTTTGCAAAAATTTTTTGCTAATTCTTGTAGTACACCAATGAAGTGACATTCAATTATGAAAAGAAACAGAGAGATAAATATTTAATAACTATCTAATACTTTCCTTCTAAAATTTCAGACCATACGATGATTACTAACTCCTGATACTCTTATATCAACCTCCAGGGTATTCAAATTAGTGCATGTGTAATTCGCATTCACTTATGGCTCAGGACCAGACTTGCTTAAATTTAAATCGAAAATTACATCAGTTGGTTTTGGATTATTTGCTGGTCACACAAAGGTATTGAAACACACTTAGAAAGTGATCAAGAAGCTTTGCCAAGTGACCAAGAAGGAAGGCAGTTTTCCCTAGAATGTGGAAAAGTTATTTATTTGGACTACAACTCCAAGAATCTACCCCAAATGGCTAGGGGACGATGGGAGCTAAAGTCCAAAACCTAACATTTCCCAGGTGAGGCCTGGCCTGAATTTTATGCATAAAAGCAGACTAGTTTCTGAAATCCATGGCAAAGTTTTCTGTATCACACACATAAATATTACCTATAACCGAAGTCTATAAGCCAACCTTGACAAAGGAAGTCTGGTAAACAAACAAACAGGGCAGATATTGAAGACGTGGATCGGAGACCATTTGAAAAATGAGCAACATAGTAATATTACTTAGGTACAGCTCATGCACTACAAAAAAGGAGAGAAATTGCTGACAAAAGCACCCTCGGGGAGTAACGAGTCAACTAAAAACCAAATGGAGAATGGCAGAAAACAACAACCATGCAGAGATGTTTCACACAAGTAAAGCCAAAACATTACTTTGAAAAACAGCCTGCTGCCTAAAGCAGACCATTTCAGAAGGATGCCTTCATTTGGGAATTGTTGGCATAGTATGCAGAGACAGCCGTCTCTTCCTTTGAGAATATACTATCAGAGAAAGCTGGCAGTGGCAGCGGAGGTGAGAAGCTTCCCTGATCATCTTTTTATTTTTAGACTAATGTGGTCAGGCTTAAGAAGCACCCTGGCTAAGCTTGGAAGTTTAGCTTCAGAGCCATCAAAGAACAGACAACTCAGTACTTGGCCTTGTGCCTCAGCTGCTTTGGTGCCAAAGCTTGAAAGAACAGGTAACTCAGCACATTTCAGTCTCCTGCTTCAAATACACATGACCCCACCGCAGTGTAGAGGTGCTGTGAGCTGAGTGAAGTAGAGCCAAGGTTTTTTTCTGAATACACACATACAAAACGAGCCAAAATTGTTTCATCAGGATGAAACACATAAACCGGACTCTAGGTGAAAATAAAGATCCACTTTGATTTCTCTGGAATAGAAAAATTAAGGTGGCTGCCCTTTCTCAGATTATATTTCACTTGCTTTACTTCTGTTCTGACAGCTCCTACACTTGAATATATCATATGATGAAAGATTAAGCAGTAACACCCCATAGGGTGAGACCATAATATTTCCTTGGAAAAGTCTAAGTCATAATTCAAATAATAATCTGGCAATATATTTATTTGTTTTGCCATTAGGAACTAAACCCGATGTGAGTTACCGTATTTTTCGCTCCATAAGACGCACCTTTCCATAAGACGCACCAATTTTTAGGAGAAGAAAACAGGAAAATATATAATCTGTTTTCTTCGCTCCATAAGACGCACAGACTTTCCACCCCCATTTTGTGGGGGAAAAGTGCGTCTTATGGTGCGAAAAATATGGTATCTCTGTGGCCATGAGGGTCAAATTCTGGGCCCCAAGACCCCACTGCAGGTGGGCTCATAAACTGGTGGGACTGGACATAAATGAATAATAGCCATAATTAGAGTGAATAACAGCCATAATTAAATAATTGCCAAAAAAAGCAAGGGCGGGGAGCACAAGTTGCAACTTTCTGTGAGTCAGGCAATCTTTTGTTAAATGCAACTATGGCCACCAGGTAGTTTGAGAATTGTAAGAAAAGCTTAGAAGAGCTTGGACCACAAACCCCAGAATCCCCCATATACTGGTTGTAGGATACTGGCAGCTACAGTCCAAAAAGTAGCTTTCCAAACTCTGCTTTAGAAGTGTCTAATACTAACAGAATAAAGCAAGCCTTCCACTGCTGGACAATCATCAGTGATGAAATTCAGTGGCTGAAATTCTGTTGTTTAATGTAGTAAGTTGCACTATTGCCCACTGAATCAGTTGGGATTTGTCAAAACAATTCCTCTGTAGGCTAAATTGACTCAAATGGTCCTACTCTAGTTGTGACTTACTTTAGGGAGGGGCTGAGGCTTAAGAAATACATGTTCTTTGGGGCTCATAGAACATGTAATGTCTTCTTTGGGCCCAAACTTCAGGCAGTAAGAAAGTAAAGAGGTTAAAATGCATTGCTAGAACAAGTTAAATTAACTGGACAGAACATTCTATCATACACTATAACATATCCCATATCAATTGGAATGAATGTTTTATAACAAAAGATGTAGATTGTATTGACATATGAAATGAATGGATGTCTTTTTCTTAATATGATTCACACCCTACTGTGATAACAGATCTCCACTAGGTGGTGCCATGTGATCTGAATTCTTAATGAAATGGTATGTGAGATGAATCCACCAGTGAATCAGAAGGAATCTTGCTGGAACCTCTTTCAGCTGGCCAACAATTAGTGTTGGAGACAGTGAAGAATAAGGAATTAAGGCAGCCTCCCCCAATCTGGTTCCCTCCATTATGTGCTGGACATGTCCATGGTGGTTAAAGATTATGGGAGTTAAAGAGCAGCTTAAAATACTTTACGAACAGCTTCAGACAGTAAATTTATTTTCCTATTTGGCAGGGGAAGCTCTACAGACTGTGGAGTACTGCCTGGTCGCTGTTATGGACTGGATGAGGCTAATAAGCTGAAATTGAATCCTGAGAAGATGGAGATCCTGCTGTTAGGAGAACATCTTGATAGGTCAGGGGACTTGTTGCCTGGTGTAGATGGGGTTATACTCCCCCCTGAAAGCCATGTCCATAATTTGGGTTGCTTCAGGACCCAGACTGCTTGATGGAGAATCAGATCTTGGCTGTGACCAGATCTGCCCTAACCGCCCCCCCCCAGGTAGATTCCACATCTCCACCCCTATCTTGACAGGATGACCCTAACAACACTGGTTCATGTGTCAGTAATCTTGAGGACTGACTAATCTAATGCTCTCTGCGCTTCCTGTGACTTGAGCCAGCCTGCATGGCCTTGGACAAGTTGCACAGTCCCAGGTGATTTTGCCATGACAAATTTCATTTTGGGCCATGAACAAGTGGGCCTAGCCAAAAAGACTGCTACAATAGCTTCCACTTGCTCCATTTTGATTTTTATGGACATCTATATATCTATTTCAGTAACAATAGGTGTCCTTTACTTTTTGTCCACCTCATCTGACTGAGATTACCTTGATCAGGATGGGGAATTCAAGCACAATAAAGATGAAGATTCTTTCCTCCCAATCTTCAGTTAAAAACACTATCAAATTTAATCTACCAATATGCTGATTTGGATGTTAATCAGATCCTGCTTTTAGGATCTATGGGTGCACTAGGCGAAAGACATGTGGACAGTGTGGGAAGAAAAGAAAGAATGAATCTAGCAAGACTGTTAGTACGGATGATCTAACATTATTTCCATTGGGTAACAACAGAAAAATATTTCAGCTCTCTGAAACTGCTGAACAATTATTATGTGTAATAAGATATTAAACACAGCTCAGTATCTCTTCAGTCACTAAAAGAGAGCAACTCTCTGTGTGGGCTGGAGGGGGTGGGTGCATGGCAGGGAAACAGCCAATTTCCAAATCCTACTGAGCTTGTACCAACTAATACAGACACTTCCCTCACTGACTCTCTGCCTTTTATCACACTTTTAAAAACTGGCTCCCCATTGGTTTAAATGGAAAAGAACATAATTATCTCAGTTCTTTCCCAGGGATCCATCCAGTGGAATAGACACCTCTGACCCTGCTTCTCCTTTGACACCTTTCCAGTAAGAAGGGGCAAAGCTTCCTGCCACCATACCAGGAAAACCTCTACTAGATAGCCTCATTCTTGACCTCAGAGCCTCTGTGTCTCAGTTAGAAGACAGGAAGAGTCACACCATCCAGGAGCTCCTCAACTGCTTTCTCTAGGAATACAATAAAGGAATTTACCCAATACTGTAGTTCTTTTTTCATTATTATTATGCAAGCTAGTGCAATAAATTTAACTTTGCTTAACTTTATTCTCCTGAATAATATAGGATCTCATAGATTTGCATCGTCAAAAGCACAATAAAAGATACATTGCCTTGTGGCTAAATTCTACTCTGGGCTTAAAAAAAAAGGTTTATGCAGCTCTACATAACCTGCGACTCTTTACGTCAATCATTATAAGAAAGCCACTGTGGTGCAGTGGACAGAGTGATGCATTAGGATTTAGGACACCTTGTTCAAATTCTTGTTCAGCCATGGAAACTCACTGGGGGTGGTAATGGCCAAATCACTCCTTAAGTAATACCTTGGAAACTTTGCTAAGGTCACTGCAATGTGGGCATGGCTTGACAGCACACAACAAAGTGGTACAATTCTACTTTGGATGAAAGAGAAGGGTAAAATAGCTCTACATTGCCTGTGACCCTTCAAGTCAAATCCAGGGTCACTGCATCTTATTTTTTTTTTTTCTTGCCAGACCAGAAGTGGTGGTGGTGGGAACCCTCAAGGATGTTGTCAAAGCAACCTCTCTATCTAACTCCTTATAAGCTTCCCCCCCCCCCAAAAGCCAAGTACCAGACAGATCATAATGCCACCTGCTGGATCAGAACAGCACAATAAAAATGTACAGGGGCTGGTCAATTTCACAAACTGTGCATTCCTGGGTTTATGAGATTATGTACTATTGGGTATTTCTTGGCTTGCTCTGCAAAACAGGGGTCTGAAATACCGTATTTTTCGCTCCATAAGACGCACCGATTTTTTAGGAGAAGAAAACAGGAAAATATAATCTGTTTTCTTCGCTCCATAAGATGCACAGACTTTCCACCCCCCTGTTTTGTGGGGAAAAAGTGAGTCTTATGGTGCAAAAAATACAGTAACTCTCATGCAGGCTCCTTACCTGTAGTCCTTCTCTGACAGCCTCAAGAAGATAGGGAACAATGGAATAGTTCCACAGATCTGTAAACCAAACTCGAGAACCATCTACATCTATAGGGCAAGAGAGGAAGAGTCGTGGACCTAATGAAAGAAGTACAACAAAAAGAAAAGTATAAATTGAATGAATTTGGTAAGCATAGTTGTAGCAGTAATTACAGGGATGGAATGATGAGAGATAGAGAAGATAAAATGGAAAAAGATAAGGAAGAGAAGAGAAAGAACCTTTAGTTTACTACAGGGTGGATATGATTTAAATCGAATTTATTTAAATAAAAATATGATTTCTTGACGATTTATATAAAAATATTATTTTTAAAATTCAAATTGTGATTTAAATCAATTTGATTTTTTAAAAAAATCAATGACTTTTATCCATTCTGGTTAGTATAATGAAACCAAAAATGAAGCAGCCAATTAACCATATTTTATCCTAAGGAGAAATATATCTATTATTTGCTTGTTTTGCTAAAGTATCTTCAAGTTCACAAGCCAAAATGAGTTCTCTCAATAGAACCAGGGACAGCTTGCATGGTCTGCGATCTATTTTTTTTTTTTTAAATTCCATGCACTGCAACATTAAGGAAGAATTGTCTAGCATTTTCTGTAGAGTAGAAGAGACATATTCTTTCACAGTGAGGTACTAACATGTCAAGATGTTCCAAGAAGTATTTCTGAACTCTCACCAATAGTAACATCTGATGAACTATGAGCTTCCAAGAACTTGTTGAGATGTTGCCAGACTTTGGGGATCCAATCAATGATCTTAATTAGTTCTGCATTTCTCATCCGGCCACCAATTTCTGTTTCAATGAGTTTCCTTCTCAAGAAGCGACCAAGAAAACCCTTGACTGGCTCAGTGTGGTTGGCACATAGTACCCATCTGAAGTTGTGATGGAGCTGAAGGTTAGGTGTCGAAGATGTTGCCTGGTTCATTGTTCCAATAATGTAAGGACTGTGGGAAACAAATTAATATTCACTTCCAGAAAACCTTATCCTGTGTTTTTATAAGAAAATATTTAATTGACCACCGTTTTTCTGCTACTGCCTTTCAGGGGTAAGAGGAATCTATCCAAGATTTAATAAAAACAGTAATGCAGCACCCATAAACCTAACTAGTTTTTATTTTTCATAAGCTTTTCTGTGACCAAGCACACTTCAGATGAATGTAGTTGTTAAGAGACATGGCCTTTTTCTCATTGGTTGTATAGGAATCAGAGGCCAAGTAATATATTCTGGAGGATATTGTTAGAATAAGGTAAACAGTATTTTTTATTATTATTTATGTCAAATTCCTTTGTTTTGAAAAATGTCTCAGCATTTCCCATGCAGTGTTTCCAACAGTGGTGACAGTTTCCTCTTTGTTGCATCTTACAGGTGCTACATCGTGACTTCGGGTATAACAGACTAACATGGCTATCAGCCACATCATCTTATTCAGGATTAAATAACTCCGATTGCCACCCTCCAGTACTTGCTGAGTTTCTGTAATGTTAGGACCTGTTTCAAAATATTTTACTTGCTCAACAAACAGAATATTGACAAACAGCACAGGGCCTGTGAAGGGAATACGGTGGCAGTTTGGCTGGGGGAAATCCTCACCTAGGGTTCTGTAATGGGAACACCTGTGAAGATTGAGCAGGGTTGCCACACAGGTAAGAGTGCTGAGCAGTCAGGACATTTAAGACATGAGAATTTGAGTGGGAGGAGAGCCTAATCAAAAGGTAGTTGAAGGACGAGGGAAAACAGAAGTTAAAAAAGCAAGGAACATATTTGTTTTACAATATCATTCAGGGAATTTGTTGTTGCTATTGTTTCATTTATATACCATTTTTCAGCAGCCACTCCTCAAGGTGGCTTAAGGGAAGATCAAAAGGATGATAAAAATTCTAGAAGAAAAGCAACCAAAGAAAAAGGTGCAAAGTTTAAGAGAGGAGGGCATCAAAAGCAATGCAAGCTCAGAGCTCAGATCCTGCCACCTAAAGTTCTGAGTCTTGTAATTTAAAAAAAGGTAGTTTTCCAAACTGAGTAGTGCTTGATTTAAAGCATAAGACCACAAGGGACCTTCTGGTCTAAGATGTAAGGTGACTGTGAGGGGCAGGAGCGCTGGATAATAACCACAAGAGGAACACTGTCAAAGAGGTGGTGTAGGAAAGCTGAATTCCACATGCTAAGTTAAATCAACCTATCAAAGAATCAATTACTGAGTTGCAGACCTTACACCTTTTGTTTACTAATTGGTTCCATCCTAAGATAGAAGTCTTCTAAAGTCCTTTGAGTTAAACTTACTGTTGCTTCTCATTGAAATTAATGGGCTAAAAGTCATGTTTAACATTTTATACTGATTCAAATAGATTTTGGTAATACCTAGGTTAGACAACATCTTCTATGTCACCTCTGAATAAAACATCTTTTCTACGTTCTTACCATTTGTGGTACTTGCAGTTCAAGAGACCATTGAAAATCTCCCCCAGAGAGCTAACATGATGCAAATTGTCCAGAATGATCACCAGAGGCATATCGACAGCGTTATTTTCACTATTGCACTGATCAGCAAGGTTGGAAAGATACTGGCGGAGTTCCTGTGATGGCAATTGAAAAAGAAAAAACTAGCATTCAGTGGTTCTAATTAGGGTTCTTGAAAGACACAGCAGCAGCAACAACAATCCACATTGAATTAATTATTTCTCAACAGAAACAATCTTTTGAACAGAGTTCATAAAATGTAATGACTCAAGCAACCTTAATATCTTGCTTAAAAGTGGATACGTTCCTCAAACAGAGATTCTCAAAACAGGAAATTACCTCTTTAGGCAGTGAGAAGCATCTACCTTTAGCTATGTGACCAAATGAAAAGTATCTGGAGAAGGAGGACAGCCAGAGCATGAAGGTAGCAGCTACATACTATGACAACGACAAAGGGACAGAGGGAGCAAGAGAAGACTGGTAAGCTTGACTTGGGGGAAAAGTAGCCAAGAGACCAGTTTATCTTGTCAACAGAAAGCTGCCAAGTCAAAGTATGTCATAATACAGGCAGATTTTATGGAGACAAAGTTTTGTCTGATGAACTGTCACTACCGGAGACAGAACAAGGGTTCCAAGAAGACATGTAACCAAATAACATTCTTTACTTGATAATGATCTACTAGATACTAGCTGCTAATGCAGACCTTGAAAAAGTTCATTTTTTGGACTACAACTAACAGAAACTTCTATCTGATCATGCTGACTGGGCAATTCCAGGGATTTGCAGTTCACACACACATACACCCAAACATTTTGCATCCACAAGCCTGTTCTTAGATCAATAATGCTTTGGGTTACAGCAAGAAAGACCAGGCCACTCTCAAGAAAATCACTGTCTCCATCCCTGATGGAGTAAGGCATAAAAGCTCATAGTCCACCATTGGCTTGGAGGATACATTTCTTCATTTTGGAAGAGTAAATATATGTTTGCTAAGTCAATGGCTACATTGCTCACCTTACTGGACTTGTGATCCACGTTAAACGTTGCAATAGCACCATCAGCCAGCTCTCTGCCCTCTCTTAGTACCAGATACTCTGACAGACGATTGGCTAAGTACGTCTTTCCCGTACCACTTGGCCCAGATAAAATGATTCTCCTATGCTCCATCAAAAGCGACACGTAGCGTTGCAATATAGGCTTTGGAATTAGAGATTCAAAAACCAGACAGTCCAAACTATTCTCCACAACACCTGCAATGACAGAGGCTATTACTCTTAAAAAAGTGCTTGAAAATGTTTTTGGAAAGGATTTAAAAGAGACACTAAGCAACAACACCAATCTCTCAGAACAAGCAGATCACAAGGATTTAAAGTGGTGTCTCTGTATAAATTCATGGGGTTTGAGGGCCATTTTAAAGATTTCCTGGCAACCTAAGGGTCACATTCCCAGGGAGAGGAGGTAAAAGGGGAGGAGGTATGGTTTTAAAAATGGCTTGCATGTTTCATGTCGTATTATTTTTAAATTTTACTTTCTCAAGGTTACCACACTTAAGTTTTTCTTAAGAGAAAAGTGGATTTCATTTACAAAAAACAATCCTGAAAAGTTTTGTTGCTCCCTCTAGTGGCTTTAAAAATGAATTATGGGGTTTTGAGAAGCAGTGATGCCAATGGCACCTCAAAATATGAGTTTACAGAGTGGGCTTAGTCCTCATTAGACTGTGGGTTTTTGTTTTTCTGGTTGGTGAGTTTGGGGGGTGGGGGACACATTTATATCTGCAAACTTCAGGATTCTTCTCAGCCTGCTGCTTCTCAACTGCAGCAATTTCGTTGCCTAGTAATCAGTACTTTTCACCTGAGTTCACAATTGGAGGGTGTGATAACTTTTTTTTTTTTTAAAAAAGAAGAACCTCTACAGAGGATTTCTGCAATGTCAGCAGGCAGAGGTGACTAACTCAAAAGACAAACTCAGCTATTCTTAAACGCCAACAGAGGGAATTTGAGTTGAGAGATTAGACGAAGTTGGAATGTTTAATACCAGCTACCAATAATGAAGATTAAACACTTGTATGAACAGCTGTGTCTCTGGAAGGTACTAATGTTTTACTAACTTACCACAAAATATTCAGAGACTGCTTCAGTCACACAATAATATTTTTTATCATAAACTGACTCTTAGTCTAGCATTAGCTTAGCAAGGGTTTTCTTTTTTCTTTAAAATTCTACATACTTTTAAACACCATGTTGTTATCGCACAATGAAATTGGGAAAAACAGACTGTCAGTGCCCATGGAATGAAGCAAACCTGGTAAAATGATTTTTTTTTGGTTGACTGGTTGAATGTTGCTGGTTTTCTTGAAGCTAATCATTTCAGCCCACTATTCTATAGACTTTCCCCTGAATATTGGATGCCACATAATTGTCCGACTCTTCATGACCCCATGGACCAGAGCACACCAGGCTCTCCTCCAGAAACCTGGTGGGACAGTCTTTATCCTCCACATGGTGTTCAGAAACTTTTCTGATGGGCAGAGACTATACCGGGGGGGGGGGGAATCTTAATGTCCAAATAAGGATCTGCTTACATGATGCTCGATTTCATTCCATGGATGTTTACTTGCTAATCTTATAGTCCATTATAAACAAAACTTATTTCTGCATAACTGAATATAAGATTAGCTGTCTTCTGAGCTTTTTAATCTCCTCGATAAAAATCCAAGGCTGTGGCATTTTGAGCATACTGGATATAATGAGAAAATGATTTCAAGTTTTTCCAAATCTGAGTACAGAAAGCCACTGCATAAAAACAGGCCTCTATCACATCTTGTAAGTATACGTTATAATCAATTTTCTTGAACAAAAGCTTTAAAATAGGAATGGGCAACTTTGGCAGATCTGAAGGCCAAAATTTAGCCCCTAGGCCTCTCCTTGGGTCACATCAAGTCCTGCAAGGGCAAAAGACGACAACATTGGAAGGGGGAAAAAAATCAAAGCAGGAAGTGACTGCACACACTTTGCTGGGTCTGATGTGCTTGTTTTGGTTTGGAGGTCTTGGTTGCTTAGAAGGGACAGCTACTCCCATAAAAAAAATGCAGTTCTTGGAAGCCTCCAGAATTATTTAAATATAAAAAGAACTGGTTTTATTTCTAAGCTCAGTGGATCATGGGAGGCTCTATGGCCACCTCAGAGGTCTGGAAAATGGCCTCGGGTGCTGCACGTGGCCTCTAAGCCACACTTCATCCACCTGTGCTTTAGGGATTTTAGCACAGGCATGCAGCTTTACTGGGCTGATAGGATGATTCCAAAGCTCTGTTGTTGTTGTTTTATCTTGCTGATAGTTCTCACCAAAGGAACATTTGAGAGACAAGCAATCTACACTGACTTAACAAGAACTGCGCATGCAAAATAAAATGCTGCAATATACGGCAGAATACTTCATGCATCTTATCTTCATTATTAGCACACTTGAAAACCAACAATTGAACAGGTATAGCTCAGTGGGTTGAAGTGCTTGGTTATGGAGCCTGGATCCCTACTGTGCCGTCAGGGAGGGGGTTAGCTGAGATGTGTGGCATGTGTGTGGCAGGTAGGTTACATGTCCTACCATCTTTATGGTCTTGGGCAAGCTGTACAGACCCTAGAATACCACCAGAAGAAGGGAGTAGCAAACAACATTTGAATACTTTATAGCTAGAAAATCCAGGAGGATCACCATAAATTGGAATTGATTTGACAGCACATAAATATTAACTGCTCAATCATAGTGACATGCAACTTAAGAAAATCATTATTCAGTCAAGAGACTAAGGGGGGAAATGTATGGAAGTCGACTCTGCATTTCTGAAGTTCTTCCAAAGCTGAAACCTGTAATTACAAAGAGCTGTAACAATGGACCACCTATAATTTACCTTTAATAGTCACGGCGATTGTGTTGTTTTCACCCACCAGGTAGCCACAGGGCAGGAGCTCAGGTGTCTCAGTGCTATTTGTGCGAATGATTTCCCCAATGCTGTATCCCATGACACTGTCTGAATTCAGTCCTAGCTGACTCACAGGATCCACGTGAATGATGTATTCCTGTCAAGAAAGAAAGGAAAATGGAGAAAATAATCTTATTTGTAGAGTTTGGAATTTCAATCAATGAAACACAATCAAATGCATTTTTTATGTTTGAAACAAATTAATCCCTAGAATAGTTCCCCAAAAAGGATATGGAAAAAATAAAACCAAATCCAAAGCCCACTTAAGCAGAGATCATTGTTTCTCCCGCTTATTGGAATATTGGGGTAAACGAAAATAAACAGTGAGCAAAAGGCTACCAGAGCTATTAAAAAACAACAACGACCTCACAATAAATGAACAGACTGTGAATTCAGTCTCTGCTGCACTGTCATGTTCAGTTTCCAGATAAATGTTAAAAATATAGGTAGAGGTGCAATCATTGTTGTCTTGCATTTTTATGTTTAAAATGAAGGAGCAAGCATGTAAATCTGAAACTGGAACAGGATGAAAAGCTTGTATTCACTATATATGACAAAGCGATACACTTCTGACAACCAGATATTGGGAGAGGGGTAACAATAAGGATTCCCAGAATTTTCGTACTTCGCTCGTAAGCTGTGATTGGCCTCTGGAAGGCTGTGTTTGGACACAGTGTCAGAGCGCATGTCATTCTGATCTGATTCAGCAGCCCAGTTCTTGTGCTTGTCTTTTCAGATTATGAAACAACAGTTGCACACACAGTTCCACTGAAGGTACTGCCACTGTTAAAATCCAGTATTTCTGCAGGGGGAAATGGTGCACAGCATTTCCAACATGGCACGTTTCCCACCAAAATGGCTGAATTTAGGGGATGCTGGCACCAGGGCTTTGTTTTTAATTTTTATTTATTTATTTATTTATTTTTGCAGCAACAGGACAACGTTGTCCCAAAAAGCTGCTTATCCTGGCATAATGTACGAGGCAACAACATGCATTCCCTTGTGATAAGATGAACATCTTCACAAACACCAGAAGAAATGTGCGCATTCCAGTTTCCCATGTCATAGTGGAAACACATATTTCTTATTAGTATTTCTTTGAAACAGGAAATATTCCATGCCTTTATTTAGGGTCAAGAAAACTGAACTGTAATAGAAGATAACAGTCTTCTGTTCTTTTCTGTTTTTGGTTTCTTTTGAAATTTAAATTTGTTGTTTGGAATGCTGCAATAAATTACTAAAATTATAACTGAATAACAATACAGCTGTTAGTCAGGATTTACTGAGAATGCATATACAGACATAATCCTCAGTGGTGAAATATTTTGATCAAGGCAAATGGCACTGTTTAATATTACTGTACTTTGTTTTCCAGTGCCCCATAGGGACAACTGTAGCAAAGAAACTTCAACAGCATTTAAAAACTTTTTTCAGAATTATGAGTCTGGAGAAAGCAGCAGTGCTCACTGATGCAACAAAACGTGGCCTGTCAGCACTGCTTCCATCAGGAACCAAATGAAAATACTTTATAGGCAATACTGAGACTTTCACTTTTGAAAACAAGAGGATTTTGACAGAAGTAATCAAAACAACACGGCTTACCTTAAACAGCCTTCTAACAACACCATCAAGAACATCCCACTTGGTCTTTCCACTGACTCCTATACAGCCAATGAGGAAGAGGCGAGGCCTAGAATCCTATAACGTAAACACATGTGTTGAGAGAAAGCTAGATTTGGAGACATTGTTGTTCAAAAACACTAGTTAGTTGTCTGTGCTTCCCATATATTCAAAACTCAGATCCAAGATCTAAGTTCACGTCCCATGAACTATGAAAGGTAGGGTATGAAAGAACTACTGAAAGAACAAAGCACACATAAAGAAAAAAAAATCTATCCATTCTTCAGACTGAAAGCTTTTAGTCTGCCCCCTGAAAACCAGGAGGCTTGGTCTGAGGTGAATCGCCAAGATAGAAGAGCACCAGGATACAGTTGGGTACAAAGCTTGACTTCCGAGAGCAGAGAGCCTCTTTTTTTTTGACCAAATGAAACCTTCCTGCACAAGGAAAAAAACAACTGAAACTCAGATGGGTTTTTGCCTTGCACAAAGTGTTGCACAATCTTTTTCACAATGTCACACAGCATCTTCTGCTACGTCTTGCAATGTGGTGCAAAGAACAGCACCACTGCCAGAATTCTCTTCACTGGCATATCTCTCAATCCAACCCATTATTTATAGCAAGGATGGGCAACAAGTAGCCTAAGGACCACCATAATGAGTCTGCTTTACACTGAGGTGCATGCCTCCCATGTGCCTGGTTTTGTTAAGGAAAGTTCCCAAAGGTGTCTCCCCACAGCTAAAAAACAAACAAACAAACAAGCTATGTAAAGTTGTGGTGTAGTCTACAGGAGATCCAGGGAATTGTGAAAAGCTGGTTTGTGAAGGAAGACATATTTCTCCCTCTGAAGAATTTTGAAAGATCTGGCCCCAAGTGAATGAATTCAGCTTAACAGTGTAAGTTCCAAAATGTCCTCCCAAGCTTCCTCAAAACTTGATAAGTGTGTGTTGAGGACAGATGAATACTTATTGCCCTGAGCCTGATATAGGGCTTAGATCACCTCCCAATAGCATCAAGCCTTTTAAAAAAAATGTTACTTCAAAATGAATGAATAAGAGACCACGGGGCATTTTTCAACTTTGGGTTTGGTTCAGTTTCTCTTGAAATTTGGAATAAAGAAAAGAGAAACTGAACTGAACTCAAAGTTGAAAAATGCCCTGTGGTCTCCCATTCACTCATTTTGAAGTCACTTTTTTTTTTTAAAGGCTTGATATTAGTGGAAGGTGATCCAAGACCTAGTAATCCAGTACTCACAGGGCTGGGTTTCACAGCACCCATGGCGCCTGGCACTGCATCTTTTGGTAACAACTTGTCTAATGGACAGACTCCACTTATTTCAAAACCATGCACACTTTTCATGCCTTTTTGCACAGAAAGACTTCTGGATACTATATGTAGAAATACTTTCTGGATGACTTGCGCAGAACTACTTTTCCTAGTAAGATTAAAGTGCAGGTGCCAAAATCACTGTAACTTACTTCTTTCCATTTCATTTCATCCTGAAAGCTGACAACTATTTTAACATGTCTACCACTTTCTTTCCGAGAAGAACCATCACTGGGGTCATCAAGCAGCATGTCTGTGGACAGAAATAATTCTTTTAGCAATGTACAGAGTCAGGAAGAATTAGTGTACTTTGTTCTTATCCATCAAAACTCTGGGCCAGGGCAAAAAGAAATCATAACACACATATATTATGCAAATGAAGCAGATTTACATACATGTATTTATTTTTCATGATTTTTCATTTGTTAGGAATTGGGAAACAAACTGTGCAAAAATAATGAACACTCTCTTTCTAAGCACTGAAAATTCTTCTTATCTTTACTTTGACTTCTCAGACTTCACCAGCCATATATTATATCGGCTAGAAACTTACTTGGCAAAAAACAAAGAAACAAAAAAGCAAACTTCTTAGAATGGCTAATTCTCTGAACACTGTCACTGTCCAAATGTCAGTATTGCAGAGTATAAAAATAATTTCAATACATGCAAATTCTGAAATAATCTAAAGAGATCCCTAACAACTTGGAATAGATGCACAGAAATTTAGGGAGGATTACAGAAAAATCAATGTGGTATTTTTTCTTTTAAAAGTCTTACTTCCCAATAAACAAATGCAATTAGATGATTGAACATGATTCTATGAAGGTGGAGTCACAGCTGGAAAGTTGTACTTCAAAATATCACAGAACAGAAGATAATGTAACCAAGGTAATGTTTCCATTTTCCATCCTTAACCATTGCTACGTCCATGATTTTCATTTACAGTGGTGCCTCGCTTAACGATTGCCTCGTTTAGCGATGTTTTTGCTTAACGATGGTTTTTTAAAAGAATTCTATGCATCGTTTAACGATGTTTCCTATGGGCGATTTTCGCTTAGCGATTTCGGGACCATACTTCTCATAGCAAATGCATTTTTAGGTCCCCTGTTTCGCTTAACGATGGCCGTTTTTTCAATTTTAAAAGCGTCTTAAAATGTTCAAAAATGTTTTAGATGCTTGGAATCGTTACTGCACCTACTAAAATGTGTGCAAACTTAATTTGGCTTTGATCAGACCTTTTGTTAATTTTTGGTGAATTTTTTTCTCCCCCATAGGAAAGCATTGAAACCAACTTTTGACAGCTGTCAAAAGTCGGGCTCAATGCATTTCAATGGGGGAGGAAAAAGTTCACAAAATATTAACGAAAAATCAGCAACTGTTTTAAATGCTTGGATTCGTTACAGCACCTTGCAAAACCTGTGCAAACTTAGTTTGGCTTCGTTCTGAGTCTTCGTTAATTTTTTTGTGAATTTTTTTCTCCCCCATAGAAAAGCATGGAGCTGTCAAATTTTGACAGCTGTCAAAAGTTGGTGGGGGAAAAAAATTCACAAAAAATTAACGAAAAGTCAGATCAAAGCCAAATTAAGTTTGCCCCCGTTTTAGAAGGTGCACTAACGATTCCAAGCATTTAAAACAGTTTTTGAACCTTTTAAGACACACTTAAATTTGCAAAAATGGACATCGCAAAACTACTGAAATGCATTGAATAGGCTTCAATGCATTCCAATGGAGGAAACATTGTATTTCCTATGGGTTTTTTCGCTTAAGGATGGCAATCCGTGCCTATTGGAACAGATTAACCGGTTTTCAATGCATCTCTATGGGAAAACACATTTCGTTTAACGATGTTTTCCCATAGGAATTTTTTTTTAGGAACCAATTAACATCGTTAAGTGAGGCACCACTGTATTTAGGACTACAGAATATAACCCATCCTAATCCATCCCCTGCTCCCCACCCGCCCCCTGCATGTACTCACCAAGACTAGCTGACTCTGTGAGGTTCAGGCTGTGCTGAGAGAGACCCATAGACTGCCTTGGAGAGGAGGAAATAGAGACCTGAGACTGGGCCCTGCTACAGCTGCCTTGATTTTCAGACTTCAGCCGGTCATTTTCTGCTTTTAGTTTCTCAATCTCACTCTAGGTTGGGGGAAAAAAAGCAAATGAATAATAAAAGGAATGAAAAGCACATAGCTCTTCCACTGTATTTATTTCCATGTGTCCATGTTTAACAAATGGCCAAAAGTCTGCTTTCCTGTCTGTCCGCTTTCCTCCATGTCCAATGCCTATCCTTCCCTTCACCAAGAGACCAGGCCTTCCCTGTCCCTCACTTCTGTGGATAAGATGTCTGTTGGGTACACCTTTCCCTCTGTTTATCTGGCCTTTGTTGCCACTGCAGCCACTCTTTCTCAAGTCAAGCAAAAATATGTGAGCAGGAGAAAGATGTGGCCCATATTCTACACCAGGTAGGTATCCCAAAATGGTGGACGAAGTGCCTCCCAACATACTCTGAACATGAGCTTCCAGGATGTGTGAGGGAGTTGAGATAGTTTCATTGCAACCACCATCAGCACTACAGTGAAAGCTGGATTTATTGTGCTAGGAGACAGTTGTGTTTTTCTTTTTGAATCATCTGGGGCTGTAGAAGGCAGTTTCTGCCCTGCTTCTTTGAAGACAAATAATACTCCAAATAAGTCACAAATCACAAATGCATCGTAAGTTCAGGTTAAGAGCATACAAAGCAACACTTCCAGTGTTTATCAGATCAGTGTTCTAGTTATTCTCACTCCATGTACTGAACACAAAATTTGCAACTTCATTTTTCCTGGCAGTCTCCTAACTTCTGATCGGTGCCTAACAGGGAGATGTTTAACATGTGTTGCCTTTCCCAGCAATCAGCAGAAACTTCACCTGTTGACTTTAAACCTGCCACAATTAAAGGTATAGGGCATTTGTAAAACAAAAGGTGGCAAACTCAAGTAGCCAAGGAGAACAAATTATTTTTATGTAGGAAAGAAACAGCTAGTGTCTGCCATTTCAAAAAGAAACATTGTCCTACAAACATGTTTTACTTAAAGACTACAACTTAAGGTTTTGCTTTGGTATTTCCTCTGGAATGAAAAGTATAGTGGGAAGTAAATTCCTTCACAGAGAAGCTCTAATTTTAGGTTTTGTGGGAGGACACTGTGTGTGTGTGTGTGTGTTTGCAGGGGGAGGTGATGCTGCTGCAATAGTTTCCCACCTGCATCCTGTTCATAGCTTCCCGAAGTTGGTCCAGTTGGTGGGCAGAGCTGAGGGCCTCCAGACGGATATCAGTCAGCTTCATCTCTTTGTCTCTCAGCTCATTTCGCAGCTGCATGACCGTTTCAGCTTCGCTATCGATGCATTCCGAAATCCTGAGAGAAGGTTTAAAAACAAAAATCAAAACTGCCGAGTCAATATCTCAAAGAAATCAGAAGGTAATTCTGCATTAAAGCAAAAATTCAATGCCTTGGGGCTTCAACGGTTTTCTTTCTTTCTTTGTTTCTTTCTTGGAGAGAGTGAGATTGTACCAAGGAGGTGCTCAATAGGATACAGTAATTGGAAAAATGTCTCATGCCCATTAATGGAAGTAGAACACAAATAACTTGTATATAGTTTTAGCACCTAACCTGTTTGACCTAGTAGTCATTCTGTGGGAAACCTATTTAGCTTGAAAATCCCAAGTAAATTAAGAAGGTATAGTAGCAGCAGTCACTTGGAGATTGATGGTCTTAAAGAAAGATTTAGCACTCAGCAGGTGCAATGCACAGCTGGACGTCCTCAATAATTCTGGAGGGCTTTGGAACCCTATACCTCTTCAGAGACGAAACATTCCTTAGCACTCTACGCTGGTCGGACTTTTTTTAATTCTCCTGGCACCAGCCTCCTTTCCCTCCTCCCTTCTCCTATAGCTGAATATATGAAAGACAAGCAGTGCCATTTTCTGGCAATTTCTCCTGTCACATGCGTGTGAAAACATTCTTTTCAGCTAGATTTCTTTTAATAGTACAGAAACCAATTATATGATGCTGCAATCAAGAAATAATAAAGTAGGCTAGGTAGAGCATCTGTTATCTATGCTAGGTGAAATTTTCAAGAGTTCAGGCACCGAAATTAAGTTTGGAGAGCTTCAGGGTGCCTGACTCAACTAAATTATGAGGTTTATAAAAGCCTGAAGTTCTTGCCCTTGGATTAAAATCCAAAATGGGTGTGATTTCCTAACTTCCTTTGCTCATTTCTGCCAGAGTTCCCCTTTTCCAAACTGCACTCCAGCCCCCTCCCCTTCAAAACACATTATCGCTTCCAATTTCTTGCCTTAAAACTGTGTCAGCAATGGGGGTAGCACAGAAAAATGGCAGAACAGGTATTGACAACAGGTATTTCTTTCTGTACCTTCAGGTAGACTCAGCTGCTCTTATTCCAAAGGGGGGGGGCTCATTTCAAAAAGTGAATCACGAGCCCTTTCCCTGTGGAGTACATGGACACCTCCCATTGTCTAAAATGACTGGGAAAGACATCCCAATCCACACCACCAGAGGCGGAATCTGAAACCTACATCTGTGACTTGAGTTTGCACCACCCCCCATTTTGGATCCTTTTTCTAACAAAGGAGTCTGGCACATGGACATGACTTTTGAAACTTTTATGCCTTTTCTGGACCAACCACAGTAGTGCCCAGTCTGATGAAGGGAGTCAGAAGCTAGCTTATGTTTGTGAACTTTTTAATGGTGAAATTAAAGACATAACCCACCCGTTTTAGGATTACGTACAAAAACCACACAGCTTTTTTAAAAAAATTAAGAGAATTATGGTGTGATTTCCCCTTCTCAGCCCAGTTCAGTAACTCCTCAACCACTGATGCCTTAGCAAGCATATGCATGTAATTAAGATGGACAGCCCTGTGCATTTATTCTTCTATACCTGTGGAACTGCCCACTCCCTACTACACTGAACTAAGAAAGCCCTTTGTATAGGACTGATGTGTTCTCACATGGAACACTTGTTGGCCTCTGGATTGAGGTCACAAGCTTCTCCTGAAAGGAAAAGACATTCTGAGGAAGCATGAAGTGCTGAAAGCACAATATACAATATTATAATTTCCCCTTAAAAAGACCAAACAAGCAACTGATCAAAGCTCAGAAAGCCCACTTTTCATACTAGATTCCCAGAATTCTCCAAACCATCATGGCCAACAGCTGTGGTGACTGATGAATTCTGGGAGTTGTAGACGAAAAATATCACATCTCTAAGCTGTGTTACTGCTTCCTGGAGAATGGAAGTTAAACAAGATCAACTGACTAAGAACATCAAGCAAGTAAACTTTTGTGAGAAAATTCTCACAATGTATGTGCAGAAAAATATAATCTGGCTTCAGTGGGTGCCTAGCTGGGAATGTATGGACAAACCTGGGAACTGTACTGCTGTCTTCATGTTTCTGTTGTGTTCATCTGTTTTCTAATAAAAGTTACCACTAGAAAGCAAATAAATCAACATGGAAGCCTGAGGCAAACTAGTGTTCTGCATTTTCCTCTCCTAATTCTCTGCTGTCTGCAGACTTTGCAGATACTTGTCAAGACTCGCAACATTTGCTGCATATTTTGAATGATGACAGACAAGGCACCATCATGAAAGACATGATTTCATTGCTTTAAACTTTGCCCCGTATTCGGTGTCACAGGGACAGAGTAACTTAAAATTGATGATAGTGAGATTAAGTGGTGTAGGATAAGTGGACTTTTTAAAAAAAATAAAAATCATGACTGTTTGATATCTAAAATGATAGTGTTTTCATTGTCTGAAATGTAAATTTCAATATTGTCCCAATTTCTCCAGATCAGATATTCCCTGTTTTTAAATATCTATTTGTGCTGCATCTTATCAATAGATACTACCTTGCCCTGAACAATCCAGTGAAAATACACCTCAGCAAAGGTTTGCAATATGGTTTACATTGGAAACAATTTTCTGAAATCCCTCAAATATTTTTCATCATCTTCTGCCCTTTCCAGTCCTCCCAAAAGCTATGTCCTAGAGTGCTTCTTTGAACAGCAATTTCAGTGGCTGATCCAGCAGTTTTATGTCAGAGCAGATTCCTATTTCACATTTAGAACTTGGGTTCAGATATAAGAAGAATTTTTTAAAAAGACAGATCTCAAGTTTCTGCACTCCTCTCCTCTGTGGATTTACCTCTCCACTTTATGGTTGTCAGTTCAAAACATTTTAAATGGAAACACTGTGACTTGAAAAAGGGATGCCACCCAGCAATGCATGAAATTGGACTCGGTTCTTCCTAACAGCAATGTGTGATCACTGGCCTTTATCCAATGTAAACAATGGGGGGTTATTTCCTTCGTGTTCATTTATTTCCAGAGGCACTAGAAGTGATTTACAGTCAAACTCACTAAAGTGTTTCATCTTCTGGAAGACTATGGCAATTTCCTTTACAGCGAAGGGAAGGTGGGAGACACTGGGTCAGACACTGAATAAGCATAAAGGAATAGAGCAGAGACAACATTTAGAACTTCCAGTGGAGAAAAGTGATTTGAACCATAATCCCCTGTTCTTTCATAATGTGCTGGTTTCAGTATTCTAAGATAACAAATGCCATCATATGAACAGGGATGCTAGCTTTTAACATACAAAAACAACTCACAGAGAATTGGAGTGTGAGGTTCTCAGTAGTGGGGTAGACACAACAGAGCCGTTGTGAGGCAGTTTTGGTGACGAAGGCAACGAATAATCTGTCATCTCCTCAATATCTGAATGAGAAGATGCTGACTTGGGGGACTTCTTTTTACCAAAGGCTTGTTTGAAGGAACTGCGCAACTGGAAGAAGACAAAAATGAAATTGATTATGAATTAAACAAATAAGAGCTTTATTACAAGAAATAAAAAACAGAACAGAGAATAGTTAACATGCACACTTTAAGTATTTATGTAACTCCCTTTGTATTCCTTGCAATACGAATGAACAACAGAACTATGGGTGTTCTTGTTCTCTCTCTGGAAAGTTTTACATCCTACTTAAAAGATACAAAGTTAATACTGTTGCAAATGTGCTGGCTGTTGACAAGATCTCATTGTGAAGAATGTAAAACGCTCCTCTCAGTTCAAGAACGGGATATGTTACGGGATTACCTCAGGTTGCAGTTATGAAGTGATATGGCTCAGACAAGGTTACGGATGCTGATGAAGTTAATTGTGCAAATGAATCAATTAGCTTTGTATTTTAGAATTGAAAACACATCTTCCTTACCTCATTGACCTGCCAGAGGAAGTGCAAGCAAAAAAGGAAAGGGGGGGGGGAAGAGGAAAAAAAGACAAGTTTTAACAGATAAAGCCACTGACAGGGAAAGCGCCGGATTTCTCAGATAAACACGGTCCCACCCCACCAAAAAACAAAACAAAAAGCCCACTCTCACACACAAAGAATGTTACCGGAGTTTTTTCCCCCAAAGGAACATCATCATATGACCAAAAATTGGCTCAGATCTTTTACATAGCAGGAAAGACAATGCACAGCTTTCAGTATCCCCCCCCTCTCTGTGTATAGATAGATATGTGTGTATATATATATCTCCTGAATGGATTAGCTTTTCCCCATGCAGTAGTAGGGATTTCACTAGTTAACTCTTGGGATCCATTCTACCGTTACAATTCTGAGTTCATCTATTAAATGTATAACACAAATCCTCAAAAGAACTATACACAAATGTTCTATTTTCTATGGTACAGTGACAAAGAGATCTATATTCAGCTGATGTTAAAGTATATTCCCTTTGTACGTGAAGCTATAAGTATAATTTTCTTTGACCTTTGGTCTAACATGCAGAAGCCAAGGTCTAGAGAGAGTGCAGCCCTGTACCCATTCCGTGGTTTGACTGAATGCTTGAAGGAGGGGGAAATACTTTATTTATTTATTCTATTTATATCCTGCCTTTCTGGTCTTGCGACCACTCTAGGCTTTAGAGTCTGAAATTTATGGCTTCCTATTATGGGTAGCAAGATCAGACTCACACACTTATTCACATTGTCCACACTATTACTGAAAGTTATTTCCTTTCTAGGTGATGCTGAAGCGCTTGCAATATTTCCAAATCTAGGACAATAAAACTACTAATAAAGCTACAGGAGAAATTAGTTGCATTATTCATATTCAGAGAGTCTGGCCAAGAGTCACGGAGGAACTGGACAAGCCCAGATGATACTCCTGCTCAGGCTGACTCTTACCCGCAGGCTTACTGCTGCAGAAGGGCAGTTGTCTTCTTGGGGGGAAAAGTCTTAGTGAGTTGAACAGGGATTGTGATTCTACATTAACCTAAACCCTTCTTCAGGATCCTCAGATTCCTCTGGGATAGGGTCCATTTATTTAGGTACAAGACACAGAATGAATCCTAGGGCTAAAAGGAACTAAGAACTTCCTTCAAACTACTACAAGGTCATGGTCACAAACACAGAATCAGTCTTCACAAAACGAAACCTGGGATCAGGTACCTTTCCTCCAGCACATGGAACCTTGCATACAATAAAGGGTAAGCAATGAAGAAAGCGGAAGTGAAAAACAATTATGTTGAGGATTTCAGGGTAGCATTTCTCTCACAGGCTAAGCTTAAAGACTGTAGTTTCTGTTTCACCATTTGTACAACGGTATGGAAAAGAATGGCCAAGGAATAATGAATATGAGTTAAATTAGATTGTTGAGACATTGAGGCAGGTGTCAGCTTTCTTTTGTGTCATGCACAAACAGATGATACTGTATTTATCTCAGCCATTTGTGTGCTAGATTTTATCAACTGATTTCTATTTAAAGAGAAACCCACCTACCTCATATTTTATAGCATAATCATTACTATTCAGTATAAATGCAGTGAAACATAGTGGCAAAATACAACTTTCTCAACTGAGAACGCATTCAAGGAAAATACATGTACAACATTAAATCAGTGACCAGAGTGACTGGCCTTTCCCTCCTTTTTTTCCCTTTACAGAACTGTCAATTCATTTAGAACAGCTCTGTAGATACATGAGTGTGAACTTATGTGCACATGTGTTTACTTATTCATTCACATTCTGTTTGCCAGTCAAAATGATTCTGCCCTGTCAAGCTGCTAGTTTCACCGGCAATACAACAACACACAAATTTTATGATAATGGCCCCAAAGGAAGTCCACATGTTAATGAATGGTATAGGAGAAAGAAGGATTAGGAAAGGGCTAACACACCCACACCATCCATTGTTATCAGACATTGCTTGTGAAATGTGTATTTTAGGTCTCAACAGCTTTTGCTTAGTCATCACGTCCTCAATAGGCACAAGGTTATTCTTATTTGTTTGGTGTCTATAATGTCCATGTTCACTCATGGAAATAATTTACACCAAAGATGGAGAACATGTGGTTCTCCTCATATTGTTGGACTACACCTCCCATCAGACATCCCCAATGGCTTTGCTAATAGGAATTTTGGTCCAGCAATATCTAGTAGAGCTACATACGCTGCCCTCTAATATGCATAGCCTACCTCACTCACATCCTGGGTCTTCTAAATGTTAATAGAGGCATGTTTCAATTCCTTTGATGTGCTCTAATGAAATCTACATACCCAGTTCTTTCTCTTCTTTTTCTTAGAATCACATTCTATGTTGCTTCCCACACTGGAATGACTAGTAGCACTGTTAATGCTAGAGACACTGTCAGAAGAGTGTTGTCTTCGGATCCGTAAATCAGTGGTTTGAGCAGTCCCGCTTCCTAGGTAGGGATTTAGATTTTGTTAAACACGTTCAGAAGTTGTACTTGCTCTATCTTTCCATCTCTACACACAGTGAATTATTGTGTTGTATGCTGTGTGGATATCTTTCCATCTCTACACACAGTGAATTATTGGATTGTATTACTTAGGGATTGTTATGAGGGTGTGTGTGTGTTTTGGTCTGGTCTCTGAGTGTCGTTTGTGAATTTTGTTGTATGTGTATATGGTATATATACATTCAATGACAATAAATTAAGTTGACTAAATTGATTGAGTTGATACATTCTCCTTGCCACTGTTATCACTTTTTTTTCACAGCTAGCACAAGCAATTAGGACATAGTCCTTCAGCTGGATCATTTGTCACCATGTATAATTTGTGGAAAGGGCAAGGGAGAACTGCACCCTGGAACCCCACTCCTGCTTTATGGCATGCCACTGCTGCCACATTAACCAAGTACACAGGATAGCATCACTGTGGTAGCACTGGAACAGGGTGTGAATCTTGATTGCTGGGGTATGAGGGTAGTGGCTCGATGGAAACAGAAGGCAGAATCCTGATTGTTCGCAAGGTGGCAATGATGGTGGAACTTGTGTTGAGATGGGGCAGCAGATGGCTGTAAGGTGTCACAAGACAAATAAGGCAAGCAGGTAAGCAAAGCAAATGCAAGATTAACTGGAAGGCTGAGCTTTTACTGTCTTTCGTTTGCATGTTGTTATAGCTTTGGACTCAGGTAAGCATCTGCCTGGTTAAAGCACATGATACACCTAAAGTATACTCTCTATTGTAATGTAAGTAGAACGAGTGATTCGGAGATACAAGTTCATAAACATCATTGGCGATAACAAGTCTCTTGGTCTCTGAAAGAAAGTTCAAGGACAGATCAATAATTACGCAGTTTATCTTTGGGAAATACATTTCCAGACTTTGCATCAGCTATTACCAAGGGAAGCAAATGCCCTCAAAGTGCTAGGCTATTACTGAAAGTGTAGGTTGCATCTTTACCTTTGCAGGCGAGCTCAGGTGTGTTAATTACTCCATTAATAGCAGCCTGAGCAGCAGCATTTTGTTTCTTCAGGAGCTCAATCGTTTTCCTTAACTCGTTCAGTTCAGAATCCTGTGGCACAAGAAAACCAAACATTGCTTTTGACTTCTCTAAAGACCAGTGACCAAACAGCTTTTACAGCACTGAAGAATAAGACCAGCAGAATCAATTAGCCAGAAAAATGTTTAGTGGGTGCCCAATGGTGAGGTAGAATCTCTGAGAAGTAGCTAAATATCGGAAGTAGCATGGGCTTGTTTCTTCCAACATTAGAGGGTTTGCCAGTATTCAAACTGTTTTTTGTCTACTTGCTTAAGGATAGCTGCCATTAGAGAAAGGTAAAGTGAGTTGTACACATCACTTTATTTCCTCATTTGACTCTGCTGGTCCAGCCAAGCACTCTAATTCACTGGTTCTTAACCTTGGGTTACTCAGGAGTTTTGGACTGCAACTCCCAGAAGCCTTCACCACCAACTGTGCTGGCTGGGGTTTCTGGGAGTTGCAGTTCAAAAACATCCGAGTAACAAAGGTTAAGAACCACTGCTCTAATTGACTTCACGAAAAAATATCCACCTTGGTTGGAGCCCACTGTGTCAGATGCATGTTTCTAAAGTTTGCCCTTCTCAAGTTCATCACATGCAACTCAATTCTTGAACATATGGGCCAATTTCACTGCCATTTGCAGGCACAATATACCTTGCTCACTATTGATCTACTTGTGTCACACAGGATTAGACACTATATAGACTATTCTATGAAAGATATTTGAAGATAAGGTAAATTTAGTTTTCATGCTTCCACATGAGTACTACTGAGCTGTTATCAGCTCACTTGTTTGTTTGTAAGTTGGGTAGACTCAGGAGGAAATCAGCTGCTGCCAAAGAATCAATAAGATTTCAAACTACGAAAAAAGGATAGAAAATAAAATAAAATAAAATAAAAAACAAACTAGAATTAACTGGATAATTCACTTTCAGTACCTATTATTCATGAACACACTGGTTAAGTCTTTGATATGACTGAAGTCCGAGAACATTTAAGATAACCTGAAGAGAGTTACAACTGCATATCTATATTACTTCCTACAGTACTTTAAATGTTACATATTATAATTTTAGGATTTTGTAGAAAACATTACTGATTTCAGTACTACAAATGTTTGCAACAAATTTATGGCCTCCAGATATGTCTGTTAATTTAATGAGTAATATCCAATGTAAGGCTAGCAGAAAAATTACAAGTGTCATATTCACAAATGACAAACAGGTAAACTTGCCTTCTGTTCTGCAGTCATGGTAAGGCTTTGAAGTCTAATGGTCATATTTCCTAGGCTTTGTTCAAAGGCTGCTACAAGGTGAGCCTGCAAAGTAAATTGAATTACACAGTTAAAGCTTGGTTTGCCTGCCAAATCATCGAGTGGATCTTGCACATTGTACAGGATGTAATCCACACAGCTTGCACTGTGCTAAAGCTTTCCCTTGCAAGCACTGCCAATGCAAGCTGAGCCTTGGTGAATCACCATTCTCAGGATGACAAAACTATAAAACTAAGGACCCCTACAATAACCATCCATGTTGCCATACTGTTTTGCAAAAACATCTGGCCAAGGAATAAACTTGCAATTCCTGGCTTGGAGCTGCCCCATCTGGTTGTAGCACTATGTCCTATACTTGCACAAGTACTGGTCTGTGCAGTCAGCTAATACCAAGTATGCTTATTCAGTATAAGTATGCTTAGTAGGGCAGATTTAGAATCTTTTCCCCCAAACCGAGAAAAATCCAGAGATCTTTTTTAAAGACCTCTATGGTACAGTAAAACCTTATACTGTACAGTCATTGCATCACTATTCTCCATCAGCACATAGTTGCCTTATCCTAAGAATTTCTTCTCTCAATTCACTATGAAAACATCTATGAAGAGTATGATAACACTGGGATATGTGGTTCTCTCTCCCTCTGGCCTCTGTGAAAACATGCCCAGCTGAGTCCGTGAGAAAAGTGGCTTAACACTGACTACATTTGTTATAAACCTAGAATGTTTGTTTAGAAAATACTAGAGTCCATAGTACTCCTTTGAGAAGATGTGCCAACAATTTAGAACACCAGTAAAGACTTTCAATTCTTATACAGGGGTCAGGAGGGAGAGGCATTTAAAGCTAATTCTGTAAATTCTGTGGCATCAATTGAAGTCATCTACTATAGCTATACTGTATAGTGATTGTGTGTCCACTCCATAAGGACAAAAGTGGCTGGTATTTGACAACAGTTCCTTGAGATATGTATACTCCCTGTGCTGCAAACTGTTCATAATCTGCTGTAACTCAAAACTCAAATGTTATGAGCCACAAGTACTGAATTAAAAAGCAGTTTGTTCTTTTTGGCAGTTGCAACTGTTAAATGGTATTCTTTTTTCACATAAATATGTTTCTCATGCAAAAAGAAAGGAGAATTCCCATATAACTCTATGTTGGTCTTCTCTCCTGCCACTCCCTGAGAATCACCCTCTTTTTCCCTCTCTCCCTTCTTTCCTCTCTTGTTCTTTCTTTAAACCAAAACTGCTCTTTTTTCCCCTTTAATTCAAACTCAAATCTAGCCATGCTGCTCCTTTGATTATATTTCCACCCTAAACTATAACATTGGAGTGTTACAGAGCTATAACACTATAGCACTGCATAATATATCTCCAATACCCTGTATTATTACTAGCGCTGTAACATTAGAGCACCTTAGAACTATAATGATAGAGCTAATTTTTTAAAAAAAGAGGATGGAAGGAGGCAAGCAAATGCCACTTCTCAGTAGGAGAGTGGATGCAGCTCCCACTGGGATCCACATGGAGGACCCTTCCCCCCCAATATTAAAGAAAAACCTACTGATGGGAGAGGTGGGCAATGGTCAAAGCAATGCATCACTAACAAGGAACACAGTGAGGAATACCTGCCTAGCCAGTAACTATAGCAGTAACAGCTATGGACAACTATGAGCAAATGAGTGAGTTCCTTTTTAATGGGTACATTCCAAACTCTGCTCACTCTTGCATAAAATCTTGGTAGCATTAACCAAGCTATAAGGATGGATCTGAAAGAGCCCATACTGAGTATGGAGGTTGGATGAGAACAATATATGAGTATGAGAAGACCAAAAGCCTATCCAATCCATTCTGTTTATAAAGTGGTGAAGCCATGACTTATGGAAAGTTCACTACCAGAACATGAGTGTCGCAGAGTATCCCTAATCCTAAACATACACTCCAGATCTTCTCCAGCTCTGCTATATGGTGCTGGGGATGGGGTGTGGAGAGTTGCCCATTCTAAACCTAAGCAACATAACTGGGACAGGTGTGGGGCCACACTTATGGAGTCTGAGCCATTCCTTTACAGTGCAGGGAAGGAATCTTTTAATCCCATGTGCCTCCAGTCTTAATCCCCTCTAAATATCTTGAAGATCTGTGATATAATCAGGGTGGGCAGTCCCACTACAAACTATTTTATACTGTAGCTGTGTCTAACTTTATGGTAAAGACCCTTTCTCTACTTAGCTGGGTTGGTCCTTCCACAGCAGACATTCAGTCTGCTATGACGCCATACTCAGAGTCACAACGGCGATGTAGAACCAGGCCTTTCACAATTAACTTTTGGATCTGTAAACACTCTCAGGTACTCAGGAATATTTTTATTTATCTACTTATTTATTTGATTTCTATCCCGCCCTTTTAGACAAAGTCTACTCTGAATAGGGATAGGGATGCATCTATTTTATTTCAAAATTAATGCTGTCAGACATCCATCCAGTTCATTATTACGAGAAGGGGCAATATTGCCACACTGGTAGTTCTAATGATACGTCAGTTGTTGACATACTTAAAGAACTGATCACACCTATAGTTTACCTAAGTGGAATTTTAGCAATATGGCTGTGAAGAAGAAAACTAATCTGAGTAAGATGGGGGGCTTTTTGCACAAGTTGGCTGTTGGCACACCATCAGAATGTCTTATAGTTGCTACAGTTCAGGGATCCAGGCATATGAATACAATCTTATGAAGCAGAAACATAGGATGTTTCCCATTCATTCCAACAGAAGGAGCTAATCCACATACAGTATATCCATTAGAATGAAAAAGGATTTTCTGAGCCAGGGAACTCTATATGTGTTTTCAAATGTTAGAACTTGGAAGAAGTAGGAACATTAAAATAGAAAAAAAGATTAGCTACCTAAGCTTTTCTATTCTCTGCCCTGAAAAAAAAAGCCAAGAACAAAACGAGAAAAAGACAGAGAAAAGTCATAATGAAACATTTACGTGATTTTTCTGTTTCCAAAAACTAAACCAACCAACCAAAAAACAGAGAGAGAGAAGACTCAACTATGCGGTTAAAAAATTAAAAGGAAACCAAACCTGAAATGAACTGCTTACAAGTTAATACAAGTATTTATTTACTTTTATTACAAAATGCTATTTGGAGTTCTTTTTCTTTTGCTTGCCAATGGGGAACAAAAAGGCAAAATATTTTAAATAAACAAACGCATTTCACATTATACTCACATTGGCAGTCAACTGTGTTGTCAGAGCTGATACTTTCTCCTGGGATGCATCCAATTCCCTCCTTAGCTTGCGAATCTACATGTTTCATTTCAAAATATTATTTTGGTTAAAAAGATGACCATCAAGGTTAAGATACAGATAAATGAAAAAAAAAATTAAGAACACAATCATAGACAAACAGCTGCTTTAACAGGCTAAAAGCCTAACAACTTCTGGGGCCAAATTTGAAGGAGTAAACTTGGCAACATTTAGCGTTAACTTTGTGCAAATAATGACTTCTCACTTGGGACACCTACATTCTGGAATCCTCTTTTGAATAATGCTTGTAACATCTACATCTGGAAAATGATCTAAGCCACGGTTTTTAAAAAAATGCTAGAGATGTTTGTATTTGGTCTGTGTCACCAACTGCTGGTTTTTGCTAGATTTTACATCTGATGTCCATTACGGCTGATTTTAACTTATTTCAAAAATTATTTATGCTTATTCATAGCCATATCAGGGACATGGTGGCACTGCAGGTTAAACCGCAGAAGCCTCTGTGCTACAAGGTCGGAAGACTAGCAGTCGTAAGATCGAAACCACATGATGGAGTGAGCTCCCGTTGCTTGTCCCAGCTCCTGCCAACCTAGCAGTTCGAAAGCATGTAAAAATGTGAGTAGATAAATAGATACCACCATGGTGGGAAGGTAACAGCGTTCCATGTCTGGTCATGCTGACCACGCGACCACAGAAACTGTCTACAGACAAACGCTGACTTTATGGATTGGAGACGGAGATGAGTACCGTGCCCTAGACGGGATTAAATGTCAAGGGGAACCTTTACCTTTAGCCATGTTACCTGCTTTGTATAGCATTTTCTCAAAAGAATAAAATAGCTTAGATGGAAAGATAATTAAATTTCAGAACTTAACATCTAGAGGAGTGCAGGAGTTTATCTCTCCTTTTGGAACTTGTGAGCATGAATTAGAGGGAACCATTTGGTCTTCCCAACACTGGATGTATTTGGAAATGCTGGGAATTTGCGCTGAAGGACTTTGACCCAAATTACATTAGGGTGAGTCAGGAAGGTAGATCAAAAATTATGATCCTGCAGCATCTATGAAAACTATACAGTGGTGCCTCGCCAGACGAGTGCTTCATTTTACGATGAAATCGCATAACAACGAAGTTTTTGCGATCGCAAAAGCGATCACAAAACGATGTTTCCTATGGGGTTTTTTCGCTTTGTGATGATCGGTTCCCTGCTTCACTAACCGATCATTGCAAAACGACAATTTCCGCACAGCTGATCGGCAGTTTCAAAATGGCCACCGGGTAAAAAAAATGGCCGCCTGCTGTTTTCTGGGACGGATTCCTCACTGCACAGGCAGCGAAAATGGCCGCGCTATGGAGGATCTTCGCTGGACGGTGAGTTTCAAGCCCATAGGAACACATTAATCGGGTTTTAATGCGTTTCTATGGGCTTTTTAAAATCGCTTTACGATGTTTTCGTTCTATAGCAATTGGAACGAATTAACATCATAATGCGAGGCACCACTGTATTATGCACTAGATTGTGTTGTAAGTAGTTATGCCTATTTCTAGTAATCTCCTACCAATAATGATAATATAGGGAAAAATAACTGAATAATTTTTCAAAAACTAATTCAACCAAATCCCAATAGTTCCCAAAGTCAATTATTTTTACAAATGCAAAGAAATATACAAATCAGTGAATGCAGCTAGAAACTCAAGTGTTTAGGTATCTGGCTGTGGAGCCAGAGGTTGGGAGTTCAATTCCCCACTGGGCTTTCTTGACAGTGACTGTACTTGATGAGCCGTAGGGTCACTTCCAGCTCTGCAGTTCTAAGGTGATAATGATGATGATGAAATGGCTAAGCTCGCATGATACAGATCTAATGACTGAGTGGCCCAAATCCTCTTACTTAACCATGCGGTGTAGCACAATGTACCTAGTTATGCTGGTGCAGCACATAATGTTTGGAGGTGAATTGCTCCAAGTTAGGAAGCCACCATAGACATTATGCATTGCACACTGACTTGTGTAACTCAATGTGCAGTTGATAATGTTTACAGGGATTTCTTAATGGTCATGCTGTTTGCATAGCTGCACAAAAGGATTTTGGTCAATATGTAATAAAGTGTGGCAAGCAATTGAATAATGTGCACCCTCAAGATACACATTTAACTGTAAAGAGAATGAAAGTGTGGCAAGCAATTGAATAATGTGCAAGATACACATTTAACTGTAAAGAGAATACAGCAAAATGCACACAGAGATGGAAATTTCCTTTTTACCAGGCACTGATTAATTAATGCCCCATTCCTGGTTGAGGCAAGTTCCTTATTGCTAGTAGTGTTCCAGGATAATGTTAGGCCATTGCTATTTTCAAAGATATCACTATGTGTATAGCTTTCCCAGAACTTTTTGCCACTGAAGCAAAGGTTTAAACTTGACCATGATGGTTAAATAGCGAAGGTGATCCTAACATGCCTACCAAAAATTGGAGTGGATGTTAGACCATGAATTCAGTGCCTTCAATTCCAATGTGTCATTTCTGCCCCAAAACACCTACCAACTTACCTACCTATATATATTTTAAAGCTTGATAATTTAGACAATAGAGTCTCCAAATGGGAAAAGGTTGCAAGGAAAAAATGGGTGTAAGCTGAACCTAAACAAATCTAAGGCCAACTATGATCCACAGTATGCTTTTTGAACCTAATAACTTAATTTAACTCAATATCAACAGGACATGATGGTGAGATAAAATTAACGCTAAAGAATACAAATATCCTTGAAAATTTGAAAGTGACTCCCTCTCTATTCCATTTTTTATTAGTCACAACAGGAGTAATCATCACCATATTCATCAAATTTCAAACTCATTAAATTAAAGGGCTTCAGTATGTCAACACTTATATAAATGCACTGATTTAGCAAATGTACTTTAGTTGAGACTAACACTGGATTTAGTCCACTGGTTTTATGAAAGAGGGTGGGTTAGTACTCCATTACATATTACAAATATTTAAACAAGAGTGCCTGACAGCAGAACAGGGAACATCACTTCCAGTCCTCTTCCTTACCTCTGACTGGCACTTTTCTTCAGGCTGGAAAGAAAGAGGGAAAATATGAATAACAATATTCATTGTTATATGCGAATAACATATGGCTCATATGAACAACATACTGAGATTTTTTTTAAAAAAAAGTAAATTGGGATAATATTATTTTTGATCTGTAGACACTCAACGGATCAAAAACTTAGTCAACTATTCTTATTAATTTTATTTCTTTATATAATTATGTGTTCTCTAACCTAAAATAACGTATCTTACAGTACAAACCTATATTTGGAAGCCAGTTGCCAAATGAGTTCAGTAGGACTTGCGTTCAATTAAATGGGGATAGGAGAAAATTTTGAGAAAGTTCTGAAAAACATACACACCACCACCAATAGACACTAGGATATCCTTTTATCCTAATAAATAAGGTGAATAAGCAAACAGGCCCAAAATCCTCTATTAGGAAGCTTTTCTGAAATCTGCTAAGGATGCATAAGGAATATTGCCACTGTTCCCACACTAGAGGGGTTCAAAGCTATTGAGGGCAAAATGGAACTGTTCTGGATATCAGTGTTGGAAGGGAACTGACCGAAGCTTGTGATCAGCTGGATTTAAAGCTCACCTGTCCCCCACCCCCACTCCAATGCTCTTTAAGGAAGAGGTGATGCACTTGATTTCCTTTCCATTGCTACTACTGAAAGGAAATTGTAACAAACATAAACATCATGACTGAAAAGAAAGGGGGGGGAAAAACAAGGATGCCCCACGCACACATTCAGTCAGGTTTTTGACTGGCAGTTCATCTAAGATGGCCTCCCTCCTCCAGACGCCTCAGGGTTACTTTGCTTTAACTCACAGCTATCCACAGTATATAAAGGTACATTGAAGTACACGTTCAATCTGATCTAAATTTCTTAATTTTTTCTGCACTGTGTCCAAATCTGAGCATTAAAATGGATATTATTATTTTATTACACTCACCGTTGAATAAATGGATGATGTGCTTGAAACCAAAGAAAGGGAGGAGCCATGTACTAAAAGGAACATAAAATAAACAAATTGCTTATCTGGTTGCTTGTTTATATCATACAGTAATGACAGCAGATTGTTCACTACGAATGCTTCATCATCAGCCTAGTTTTTTAAAAAATAGCATCACCAATCATAAACATATTTACGTAAAATAAATCTTGCAGAAGTATCAAGAAGTAAGCTGAAATAAATGGAAGCATTATACAGAACATACCCAAAAATGATCTCAAAATAAAGCTTTTTGAAAATCATTATTTGGATGTAAACATTTGCCTGCTTGTTATGTCAGAAACATTGCAAAATCATGGTAGTGCATGAAGAATGAAACAGAAGATGACAAGAAGCAGACAAAGTAAAGGTTAAACTGACCAGTCCAGTTCACCATATGGTTGGCATGAAGTATAAACAGCAAAAAGGAATTAAAAGATTTAATAATAAATAAGATTGAAAATTTAGGACTGAATAATATAGGTAAAGTAATTCTTAAGCTAGCAGTTTAAGATAAAAAAACTAGGAATATTTTAAAACAATTCTTCAAAGACAGAGGTGGAAGACTTGTGGCTCTCCAGATGTTGTACTGCAGCTTTCATAATCCCTAAACATTGGCAATGCAGGCTACAGCTGAACAACATCTGGGAGGGTTGTTGCCCACCTCTTTTCTAGAGTGGGGAAAGGGGGGGGGCACAGACAAGAGTTCTGACTCCTGTCCTCTGAAGATGCCGGCCACAGAGACTGGCAAAACATTAGGAAGAACAACCTTCAGAACACGGCCAAAGAGCCCAAAAACCCCACAACAATCATCAGATCCTGACCGTGAAAGCCTTTGAGAATACATAAAACAAATCAACTTTGTATTAATGACAGAGAAAGAACACTCCGTATACTATTTTTTTTTCAAGAAAGATCAGTAGACACCCTTCTGTCTCCATTTTTTGCTTTGCTAAGAGTAGTTAGAGGTCTTTGGTCCTTCAAGTGTCTGGACTATAGCTCCTATAACTGATCATCCTACCTGGAAAATCTGGAAGCCCAAAATATTTGGACAGCTATTTGGCCCGCAGCCAGTATTATCGCCCATTTGGTTCTGGTCTCAGCTAAAACCCGCTGTGCACAGGACCCCTGCCCAGCACTGGTAGAAAACTATAGTAAATGTTGGTGAGAACTATTGGGACTCAGATCTTGATGGGCCACATGTTGTCCATCCTGCCCTAAATGACTGTATATTCTGATCATAAGATCATACTCGGAGCTCTTTCTCCTAATGTTTCCACGACATGAGATGCAATGAGTGGCTGCCAGAAAGTACTAGTCGCACTTGTTCAGTGGAATCATCTTGGTTGTAAAATGTATTTCCCAAGAAGGCTCACCTAACACATCCATTATGGTCCTTTGGGCACTAGGGAAAAAGTATTTTCCTAAGTTTTTTAGATCTCAAAATAGTTTAGTGTCATTGAACAGCTTTACACTAATATCTTCTGGCTTTGGTTTTAATTTCCAGTTTGCTTCTTTGTTTTACAGTTGCTTTCTTTTTTTCCCCTTAGAAGACATGTTTATATTTTGTCTTTTTTTTATCATTTTAAGTTTGTTTTATTTCCTTTTGAATTTTAACTGAAAACTGGCCAGAAAACCTCAATTATTAGGCCATTGGTAAATATAAATATAAACAAAATAAGTAGTCTCTTCACAACATGCTTGAAAGGAGCTATTATATTATCACATTTCATCAGCTCAAAAATACAATGTTATTAAGTTGACTGCTCTAGTAGCAGCTCCATTCTATGTGTACCTATTTGAACTTTATTTTTCCAAGCCTTGAAACAGGCAGGTATTGGATATTTCCAACTAATTTTAAAGTGACCATTCCAGAAAAAACAAATTCCATGTTATTATTGTAATCTGAAAGCAATGAAACAGCCCTGCTTTAAGTTATTCAATTTTTCATTCATCAAATACCAAGAATATTTGGTAACCATTTATTTGACCAAAGTGTTTACATGTCTAAAATTCTGAATACTAACTATGTTGTTTCTCTGGGTTAAGAAGTGCATATTGAGTTACTCAATTTTGAATCTAACATTATGCTTGTGATAGAAAACACTCCATATATTTCATTTCTATTTCTATTTCTGCAAAGTTTTCCTTTTATTAAAGGTTATAAATTTAACAACACACTGTTCCTAAAGGAATTAATATCATTTTAAATGCTATCATGAGTAAAACAAAACCACTGATTTGTGGGGGGGGGGGAAGGGAAATCACATCCAGTCATTAATAATTTAATACTTTAACACAAAATTCAGGAACTAGTTCTATATTTTTGTCTTATTATCGTGACCTTAAAATCTATAATTACTCTGCTTTCTTCATTAGACTTCATAATAATAATTTTACATCAGACTGTAGAAGACATAGAAGCAAGTAACTCCATTATCATCTGGGATAACACACCACTTAAAGCTAGATGAAGAAAATAATTTGAATCAAAAACATTTATCCCCATCTTCTTAAACAAGTGTCTATCAGATACAACTATTGCTTCAATCATCATCGTTATCATCCTGAAAACTTGCTATCACAAATCGGTGCAATAAACATTTTCCTAAATAAATCACAATCCAAAACCAGAAACACCCATAATAGTATGAAAAGAAACTTGAACTCCAGAACTGAAATAACCTTCAATTTTCAAAATAGGGAACTGCTACTTAGAGCTGCTTTATGTGCTAAGCCTTGTTTTTCAGTTCCTTGAATTCAACATCTATTGCATTACCTAATCAGGCTCTACACACCCTGCTTTTAAATTATCTTCAATACAGACAAATACTAATGTTCCTTAATATTGGTTAGTACTTGACTGATTTGTTATCATGTTTGATGCAATTTCTGTCATAACAAATTGCTATTGAAAATATCTTCATCTCACTTACCCTCTTCAAAGCCATCCCGGAAGGACCCAGAACGGCTCATTGTCCTGCTCTTTTCATCTAACGACATTGAGCTATTCCGGAACCGAGTGTCACTGTAAGGATCGTAAGGGCCATCGGCATTAGAAAGACTGTGCGTCCGAAGCATGGTTGGATTTGACAAGCTCATCTGGGCCGCTGTGGTGGGGCTTGCTAGAAAGCAAAGCAGACACAGGAAATCACAGATCGATTCACATGCAACTATTAAAAGAAACAGTATTGCTTATGAAAGGAAAAGAAAACCCACCACCACCAATATCTCTCAGCAAATTCTTTCCAAGGAAGAACTGAACCAATTTTGGCTAAGCCAAAAAACTCTAACAAGGTTCATTTCAATACATAACACAGATCTCCTTGGAAAATATCCAGTGTATAGACTGGCATATTACATGATGGCTTGCACATTTCTCTCTCCTCTTGCCTCAAATAACAAACTAACTTCTGTTTTTACACATGGTTTGTATCCATACTTTCAATAAACCATAACAGCTCCAACCCGTAACAGCTCCTCCAGCCCTGGATTTGAGCAGTGATGAAAGTACACACCCAGACGAAACTAGGGTCCAATGGCATGGCCTACCAAGGTGCTATAAATAGATCCCAACTTGTTGCATAACTTAATTAACCAGATCAAAATGACAAGGGGCCCTGAGCGATAAACCACCAAAGACCTAATATACTCCTCACTATGAGCCTCCTGATTTTACCACTGACAGAATCAGGAACTGAGCGAAGGTCTCCAGGCATCTCACAGGAGGCAAAGCTAAACAAAAGTAGTCAGGTCCAGGATATAAGCTGGCTAAGGAATGAATGCCCCCCTTAACGCCACTGGGCTGTGACTTCCATCATCTTTTACCACTGGCTATGACTAATGGGAGTTGCACTCAAACAAATTTTGAGTTGTCACAAAGTTTCCACCATATACAAGGCCTAGTTAAACTCCACAGCGGATAGGAGCCTGGTGTCAGCTGGGAGCTGTCCAAGGTCCTCTTGCTCCACCCAACCCTCCAGCTATACCAAAACTAACTGATTGAGAACTTACCAAAATCTACAATCATTTTCTGCTTATCTAAAACTACATTCCAAAACTCTGGAATCAGCTCTCAGCAGAAACTGCACTTGGCTCCTTCCCTCCTAATATTCAGAAGGCTTCTGAAGATCCTGCTTTACAGAGAAGCCTTCCAATACAACACTGCCTGATTTTTTTGCACCTTGCACGCTGCCCAGTATTTGGAGTCATGCCTTTTGTGGCATCTGACTTTATCTGTTGATTGGTTTTATGCAATTTCTTTGTTGCCGTGTTTTATTATTTCCTATAAACTGCCGATAATAGTGCTTTGCACTAATGGAGCAGTATATAAATCTATGAAATCAATCAATCCATCTCCATTCCAGCCTCAGATGCAGATGCAATTAAACCGTTAATCTTTCTTCTTCGGGAAAATTTCGTAACTTCATGCTCTCACTTAACTTTTTTCACACACCCCAGGTGGACACCCCTCCAGCCCCAGTTTTGGAATCACTGTATTAGGTGAGACAAAAAGATTGTAGCACATCAATATATCCTTGTTTTATATTAAACATGGTAGAGATGGGGAACATGTGGTTGTTGTTGAACTGCAACTCCCATCAATTCAAACTAGCAGAGCCAATGATAGACCTCATCAGGATGCCTGCACATTCACCATTCCCAGTAATGCACTATTAAAAGAGGCTATTTGGTCCCCTAACTGTTTGTGATTTATGCCAGTTGAATTGAATTCCTCTTTAAAACGCTCATTATGCTGCTAATGTTATAAAGGAGACAGATAAATTACACAGCCCGTAGAAATTATTTTGTCTGTTTGGAACCAATATGTTGGCATCTAAACTGCACTGCATGAAGAACTCATCTAAATCCTGATATTGCTGTTCTTAAGAAATATGTCTTTCTCTTGTTGTACATATTTTGACCCAAAAAGGTGTCGAACAAGTGACTGCTTTAGCTAAGAATTTGGTAAAACTGTATGAGGAAGCAACTTCTGGCACCTTGCAAAACCTGTTATCTGAAATGATGGCTCGCCTCTAGGGTGAGATTTTCAGTATTAAAAAATATCCTCCCTCTGTCCTGAGGCTCTGATGGCTTCCATGCAATCAGATTACATGTAAGTCAGACCAGCAACAGGACAGAAGAAAGACATCTTTAATTACCAAAACATCTCCCCAATCAGTAACTTTATCACACTTCTGCAGGCATTCGTCATGCAATAGGATTTTGGCCATTATTTATTACTAGCAGCAGCTATGTTCAGAAAGAGTACTTAGCACCACTTGTAGAATATCACTGTTCTTCTAATCTAGCCTACTTTGTTAATTATCATCTCATGTATCCAAAAAACTGAAAGAGGTGCTAAACTTTTCATTTTAACCAAGGAAAATGGTACATACAGCAGGGTGGGAGTCATATAGCCTACATTATGCATGTGGCACTTTAGATCAGTGGTTCTTAACCTTTGTTACTCGGATGTTTTTGAACTGCAACTCCCAGAAACCTCAGCCAGCACAGTTGGTGGTGAAGGCTTCTGGGAGTTGCAGTCCAAAACTCCTGAGTAACCCAAGGTTAAGAACCAGTGCTTTAGATCATCTTTGAAAATGATACAGAAGAAGAAAGAGTGGCCACCAAAAAGTGTTGTTGTTTTTTAAGGAGCAAATCACAAGTCTAAAACAAGGTAGTTCCCAACTTGTTTTAGCAAAAATAACTCAAGTTATAAAAATGAAAAATATATATGTATATATTTAAAATGGAAGGTGGCTGGCTGATGGTTTAACTCAGAAATTATGTTCCAATAATGTCCTGCTTCATCTGCAGGAGGCCTGGGGCTACAAATATAGCCTCTGGACTCCTAGAGACGAGACACCCCACTATATTTTAAAAACATACTGACATGTAGGCAACATTTTCAATTTAAATGCATTTATTTTATTTTTAAAAATATTGGGTTTTTCAAAACATTTGATTCAGTACACTATTTATTAAGCTTCAAAGTCTTCCAATTTATACCTTTTCCCCTACTGCATCACACTTTAGTTCTGTAAGGTAAGTGGGAGGAGGTAGAACTCCCAGAACGGAGAATTATGGTATCTGTAGTCAGAAAATCCAAATATCCTATCTCTACCTTTCACTATGAGGAACATATGCTTCACTCACCAAGTTGGGAGAAGTTAAATCTAGTCCCAGAAGGAGATGTGATGCTGGAACCAGAAGAAAACGGGGAATTAACAACTGTGTCCTGAAGGCCTCCGGCAGAATGTGAACGCAGCCATTCTTTTGCTTCTTCTTGATTGCGAAGTTGTGATGATGGTGTATATCTGCACAAACAGTTTTTTGATCAGAAAATTCTGCTTTGCAACAACCAAAGAGC